GGAACAAAAAGTTCCAAGTAACACGGGCTATGGTGAGCCCGTAGACTGGTAGCAGAGTTTTGGGCCATAGAGAGGTCTCCAGCCCTGCTAATTTCAATTAACCGGGTATAACCTTTCGTTGGAACACTGCGAGTGGAGTGAATTTGACTCATTGGCTATTCTAGAGACGCCTTTGAATGATACTTCAAATTCGCAACGTAACACTGAAATTGCTCAATGTATTGCCGGTCTAAGATTAACTTAGATTTCACTCTGTCGTTTGTGGCTTGGCTTTCCCCGAGTATAACTTTTTTTTTTTTTTTAATTGGCTGAACTTTAACATGTGGCAAAGAAACCAGAAACCAAACTTTAATTTACAGTCTTTCGTGTAATAATAAATAATAATAATAATAATAATAATAATAATAATAATAATAAAACGATATTATTACAAATTTATAGTTTAATAACTTAGTGTAAATAAATAATATTAAAATAATCTACGAATTACATTACTTTAAGCAGGGAAGAAATTATCAGGGGAAAGTGCCAAGCCATTACGAATATATAACACTTAGAAGAGATCAAGATAAGGATTTGGGATGGGACGAGAGGGAATGGGGGAGGAATAGTACCCAACCACTTGTGGACGGTCGGGGGATTGAACGCCGACCTGCATGAAGTGAGACCGTCGCTCCACCGTCCAACCCAAGTGGTTGAGGCAGATTCGATTTATACACGAGTGGATAACGTCATAGAGTATCGCAGAATCACACCGAATTAATAATAATAATAATAATAATAATAATAATAATAATAATAATAATAAGGATGGACACTTAAGTTCCATTTAATATTTGGGTTGTGACTTGTTTAATGGAGAATTAACTTTACAGAGGGTTTTGAGTGTTGTGAAGACATCTTTGCACACTTATGTTATCTTCCAAGATGCAGCATTCAGCGCCCCAGCATGCTATATATAGCGGAAACAAAGTTGTTTATGTAAGCTTATGATAACGATTTGATAATGCCAGTACGAACAACAATAATGCCAGTAATAGACACACAAGTCAACATTCCTAAGATATAAATCATGAAAGTAAATGATTAAAATGCAATGAAATATTCAAACGCTTATGTAAATAAATGATTAAACTTAAACTGACAAATCTTTAAAACGCGGAAAAGGGTTAAAATATGGCAAAATTATGAGATGTTTAGTTCAAATCACAAAAATGAAATTTCGACTTAATTTCATCAATCCAATACAGTACTATAATTAATAATGTCGCTAAAAGCAAATAATTTAGACATACGTACATATATATATGTATATACATATACATATATATTCATATATATATAAACCGATTATGTGCCTCTGTAATCCTTTACACCACCGCCCACGGGATGGGTATGGGGTGCATAATAAAGAAATTGAATTGTACGTACATATATATGTACATATACAAAAGAATGGGGGTGATAGAAGAAAATATTAAAGTGTTCAGTGAGAATCCACAAGGTCTTCTCTGAATACTTTTTATTTTCCTCTCCGAGGCTATGGGTCCCTACACTTGCACCAGAAGTGGTACCCTCACAACTTTATTATATATATATATATATATATATATATATATATATATATATATATATATATATATATATATATATATATATATATATAACAAATGAAAACTGTAGGTAGTACAATACAAACCGAAATTGCTTTACTGAACGACTTAGCATTAATTAAAGCTAGTTTATTCCTATGGATATAGATAATAATGTCATGAACTAAATGAGTCTCAAGAGGCAGGCTTCAGATGAGCCAATGTAGGATGACAGCTCTAGCTTGCAATTGCACTAGGAACCTCAATGACTTGCTTAATGAGCCCTAGTCTTAGTTTATACATATATTTATACATGTACACATGTACACATAATAATAACATTGTAGTCTAGGTCCTGAACCTATTATGTGACTCTCTAACCTTTCAGCTAACCCCCACAGGATGGGTCGAGCCCCATAGTCTAAAATAAACCAAGTTTATCTTCGGGAATCAGTGTGATGAGACAGGAAACGGTCAATTTGTACACGGGTGCTTTGCACATACTTCTTTTGTAATTGTTAAAACTGTATATATATATATATATATATATATATATATATATATATATATATATATATATATATATCGTAGTGGAAGAGTTAAGCTAGGCTAGGTTAGGTTAGACAAGGATGGATTAGATTAGATCAAGTTTTAAAATCCTTTGGCGAGCAGTCATAATATACGAAGTGGCTCATTCCAAGCCCTTGATTTAGGAAAGAATTGGGTAAATACTGGTTCGGTAACAGGGTTGTTGATTTGTGGAACCCATTACCACGAAACGTAATGGAGGTGGGGGGGTCCCTTAATAGAGTTTGGAGTCAGAGTTAAGTCTTGCATACTTTTTCTTTAGCCAAGTGTTTGAGTTGTTAAAAGGCCTATTCAAATCTAAATTACACTTATTTAGAATAATGGTCAAGTGACTGGCAGGAAAATTTACGTACAATTCTGACAAGAGAAACAACTGCTGCAGAGGACAAAGAATTGTGTTCCATTTATTTTCACAGCCAACAATCATTAACACTTTCCCTTAACCTTGATACAAAAAATTTCACGTTTTTTCGTCTCAGTCAAAAAAATACAATCAACACGCATCAAACACTGCCGTTATTTGAGAAAATGGGTTTTATAATTGATAAATGGTGTATGTATGAAGGGCTAACGTATCTCACTTTATAACGTAATTGGCAACAAATACCAGAGAGTAAAAGTTGTCCTTCACACAGAGAAGGAAAAAATGCAAGTAACGCGGTCAAGAAAGGTCAGTTGGCCTGTGTGTGTGTGTGTGTGTGTGTGTGTGTGTGTGTGTGTGTGTGTGTGTGTGTGTGTGTGTGTGTGTCCGTCGGCCACCTGTTAGCAAGGGTGTAAGTCTACCTCCTTTAAATCACAAAGCCATTGATAGTGGCATAATCAGAATCAGAAGAGAACCAATTCCTAACAAGAATACTTCACTAATCTTGCAGGTATATATTAAAACAAACCCTTCTATACATATTTCAATTTCTATACATAAGGCTGCACTTATTTAACATGGATAACAAAATAGCACTTAAATGTCCATGCAATCCAGGGGCACTTACAAATCAGGGAAGGTATTCCAGTGTATAAGGGAGTACCTAAACTGCATAAGACAGCATGTCACAATGAACGAAGTCATCAGTGTTGAGAGATGTTACCAGTAGTCAGTACTAGGGCCTATCTTGTTCCTGATTTAAGTTTTTCATATCCAAGAGGGGCAAACTCCTTAATATCAATGTTTGATATTATAAAAATATGATGATAAAAATAAAAGGGAGATGACATTTCACTCGTCCAAAGTTCATATCAACTGGAAAGCATCAACTCCATATGCACGGCTGATAAGCGTAAGAGCTGGCCTTAAAAAATTGAACAGGGAGAATTCACGACCACCACATATTACATCAATAGTTCGACAAACAAAACGAAAATGGAAAACATCTAGATGTATGCCACAAGACTAATAACTGAAACGTTTTAGATGCGAGGAAAACTAAAGAATTAAACCTCACTTCGCTACAAGAATAAAAGAAGGCATGACCATCACATACAAAATACAATCAGGTCTCGTGTGATCTTCACGACCTAAAATATTGTGTGTTCTATCACAGGGTTACACGAGGCTGTGCTTCATTAAAGAAGAAGCATTTTTATAAGTCATGCACTGCTTAGAAAATGGGATAACATACAAGCTAAGCATAGTAACAATTGTTGACGCTAGGCTACGCAAAATGTAAATAATTTGATATGGTTAATGCGCCAAGAATGATTGATTACTTCTCACTTTTAACTTATCTTACGTTACTTTCATTTACTAATAAAAAGTTACTTGACACAAATTCCTATATATCACAAGAAAACCGAACAAAATTATTTATACTTAACTTACTACCAAACATCCTAAAGAAACTATACCTCTACATGTCAAATATATTTAAAGAATGCGGAAAACTGTTCATCACAGTCGGCCTGAAAAAAAATAAAAATAACATCCGTTGGCCACACAAAGACCTGTTAACATTCTCTCGCGTCTCAAACGCATTTTTTAAATCTTGTAAAAATCGCGAAGACTTTGCGAAGTGGAGTGTGTGTACTGTCCCCAACACGCCAGACATAAAGCGACGCCCCAACCCACATTACTTGAACCACGCCGTCGTGACTCAGACTAACGACCCAGAACCTGCTCCTTCATTATATTTCCGGATTAATAGGATCTCTTGCCACCCCGATCCGTCACCTCTGTACATCCTGATCCCCTCAGTGCTGACTCCTGTTGCTCTTCAGAAAGTAAACTTATAAAGCCAAAACAAATCATTCAAAATAGCTAATTAAACTACCAAAATATTCACACACGTTAGTTATACTGTATAAACGAGCACACTATTTCCGGCTATTTTCAGACCAGGCTTTGAGAGATGCACGAGGGAGGGGGGGTTGGGGGGACACGGAGACGAATACATGCCGGAAAGTGCCTTCAATTATTACAAGTGGACAAGTGACAATTAATATATTATATATATTATATATATATAATATATATATAATATATTAATATATTATATATATACCCAAGCTAGTTTCACACCCAGAGGTGCCACCTCTGGGTATGTTTGTAGAGACCCCTCGGCCTCGAAGAAGAGGATTATATATATATTTGACTGAAATGGTGCATGAGAATACAGAAGACCAGATGTGAAGCCTACTGAGGTGGTTGGGAAGGGGGTGTTATTAGTGTTAATAGGGTAGTGAATGGCATGCTTAGAACTCGGTCCCTTGGCTCCACCCTCAAGCGGCGGCTTCAGAAACTATTGCCAACACGACCACAACTTAGGAAAGTTTGTCTGAAATTTTGGTTAGTGATCAAGACAGTAAAATAAAAATGGTTACGGGTACTTACGATCTATTGATGTCGTATCTGAGCGGCTGATTCCAAAAGGAGCCGACGTAGACTCTCTCTACTTCAGGTGTGTTGAGGATCTTCCCCAGAGACCACATGAGGGCGCCGTACACCCGCATCAGCTGTTGGTGATCAATCATATCTGCTTTGTTCAGTACGATTCGGATCTTGTCGTGCTGGCCTCTCAGACGCTCGAGGAAGCACCGGAACTCGTCTGAGATGTCGAGTTTGTGAGCGTCGAAGAGCAGGATAATTCTGTCGACTCTCTCTGCAAACCATTCCAGCACGGAGTGAAAGTCATAGCCTCGGTCGACTCTCTGTTTCTCTCCCGACAATATGCCGGGTGTGTCGACGATGCTGAGACCTTTTAACACATTGGAGTTGACGTGCGAACATTGGAACCTATTAAGGAAGGTGTTTCCATACTTTGACAAGGGACGGAAGGGCTTTTTAGGATCTACCACGAGGGCGTTGCCAGGAATAATACCGTCTCTCTCGTTGTACATCACCACAACAAAGCTGTCCGTCGTAGGCTCTGGACCTATGCGGATACCCGGGAAGTCCTTCTCCAGGATATACCGAATGAAGGTAGTCTTGCCAGTTGAGTACTGGCCCACGAGAAGTATCATGGGCTTGGCATCGAAGTCCGTGTCATTCAGTGGAGGGGAGTGGAAGTCTTCAAACTTGTAGTGGGACTCGAGGGGCAGGACCTTGTTCTTGTAGACCATCTTGAGGCCCTCCAACACCGACTCACACATCTGTAAGTGACGTTTCTTGATATCATCTCTGCTGAGCCAGGAAAACATGTCGAGGAATGAGAGAACATAAGCGACCGCCGGGGACACAGTCAAGGGCTAGACTGCCACACTACGGCCGCCACCAGCCCCTCCTCGCCGCCTGTGCCAACCACCGCACGCCAAAACCGTCCCGTGAATACCTAGGCGGGTGGTAGATCCCTCCCCCATCAGACGCTCGCTCACTAAGAACACCCTCTCGTCACTACTGTCAAACCCTCATGGGACAAGGTAGCATCATCCACAGCAATATCACCCTTAACTGACGTATTTCCTTGTGTCTATAATGATTATCACCACCGTCTTTACACTGGTAAGGCTTAAGCGAAACTAGCTTGGGGAAAGTGTGTGAGAGAGTTAAAATAACACAGACGAATGATTTACTGCAGGCATCATGTAGACGAACAAAGAATTACACGGCTGCTACACCTGGCAACTTGTATGGTCTTATCCCAGTGTCGGGGACGGAGATATGATAATAGTTCGTGCGTTTGTATGCATACGTCCGTGACTTGTATGTGTACACACGTTTCTGTGTGACCCTGTATATGAGCAACTGCTGACGCGTGTTGTGTATGTTTGCGTCTGTATGTTTCAGTTTATAGTATGATCATATGCTTATAGTTGCTAGTAACTGTTTTATGTATGACTATATCTACAAATATTTATTACGTGCACATGTATTTGCTAATTCATGCACCTGCGTGTGTATATTGGTTAGTATGCGTCCGTGCGATTTCTCACCGGTGCGCGCATGACCGAGCTTAATCTGGGAGAAGAACCAGTCATGACGTGGAGGGTGGTGTGGCCGGTCGACACACACACTACAGCACTTCATCAAGTTTGGTAAACATTGTAAAACTTTAGGCTGCAACTGTAAATCACGCCCACGTAATGAACGATGATTATGACCATGATGAAAATTAGGTCTAGCGTTAGAACCACATTATATGTGAATCCCGCTAAAAGTGGGCTATCTGTTCCTCCACTTTATAAAGGGGGACTGTCACTCCACCTTATAAAGGGGGCTGTTACTCCACCTTATAAAGGGGGCTGTTACTCCACTTTATAATGGGAGCTGTTACTCCACTTTATAATGAAGGCTATCTGTTCCTTCACTTTATAAGGAGGTTATCTGTTCCTTCACTTTATAAAGGGGCTATGTTACTCCACATTATAAGTGACGTTACATGTTACTCCACATTATAAGTGACGTTACATGTTACTACACCTTCAGATAGGGATTATCTGATAACCCACCTTAAAATGAGGATTACCTGTTACCCAAACTTTCAAAGGGTACATTGTTACCCTAATGTATGTTTCAAATTTCAAGTCTCTGTTAACCCCCTTATAAAAAGGACCCTGACATCTGAAAAGCCAATGATGAAACAATGTCTACTACGAGATGAGAAAGTATCTGTGAAGTTGACACTGGATGAATCAGAATGAGATGGGGAAATGAAAGGAATCAGCTGAGTCAGTATCAGGTACCAGAATAAGGCTTAGTGGGGAATAAAACATAAGATGGAATTGTGACAAAAAGGACGTGAAGACAAAAAGAGGGAAATTACAATTTTAATGAAAGGAGAGTGCGGGACGAAACAAAATCTATAGCACTGGGCTAGTAAGTAATTATCAAAAGAAGGCACTAGACCTTAGCCTAGCATGAGGCTAGGCTAAGATTTGGGTATGTTAAAAAATGAGAGTTGAAACATACACATGCCCTCCCCCCATCAAACACCAATTGTGGTATCGGGGTCTAATATCGGGCTCTTGTATCGGGTTGCAGAGCCAGAAGGTGAATGTGCAACCGCAGGCGTATCCTGAAACCTGGCAAGACAGGCAAGTTCAGGGACAAGTCCGCCATCTTTCCATCACCGCCCTGTCAAGCTGGACACAAGGTATGTCAAGCTGTCAAGCCCTGTCAAGCTGGTATGTGATAATTTACTTTGGTCGAGCCCAGGTGAATAAATATTTTGGGATTAATGTCTTTTAAATAATTGTTTGCTTATTCAAAATTAAAATAACATTATTTGTGAAGATTTGGGAAGGACACTGGCCAATGAATTGTACCATCATTTCATTTGATAACTGACTTATTATTTATCTTGCAGTTATTGCTAGTATGATCTTTATATTAGTTATCTTAATTTACCTGAGAGCCACTAACACTAGTGGCCTCGACGAGGACAGGAAGCCGGCGGCTTGTCGAAGGTCCCCCATTTGCCTTGACGATCCTTCCCAGTTGCACTTTAAAAATTAACAGAGATTTGGCACATACGGCTTCGGCGGTTACGCGGTTTCATGGGTTTACCCATTTCATAATGAGTAATTATGAAATTAGTCATAATTAGTGATTTGGTCAGTGTGCAGAAGTCAAATTAAGGGCCTATGTCGACAAATGTGTGTCTGTGAATGTTAATTAAGTTAAGCTTACTTAACAATGTCTACGGAGTAGCTACGGAGAGTCTACGTTTTTGGGAACACTCAGATTAACTGAAGAAGATTAAGCCACCCAAGAGGTGGCACGGGCATGAATAGCCCATAAGTTCGTGAACGCTCAGTTGTTGTTGTTTCAGATTTAGCTACTCAGAACGAAGTGTTTGTGTAGCACGGGCTATGGTGAGCCCGTAAGGCCGAACGCTCAGGAGGACTGGATCCTTTATACTCCCCTAACTAGGCTTGTTGTACCAGTTGCGTTACAATTTATCTAGTTTGACGTTCAAATTGTGTTGTGTGTGATCACAACATAAAAGATACTGAGGGGACTAGACAGGGTGGACAGGAATAGCTGCTTTAAATTGAGTGAAGGTAGGACAAGAGGACACAGATGGAAGCTGGAAATACAGATGAGTCGAAGATTGTAAGGAAATACTCGTACCCCTGTACGAGTGGAATGTACTCACTACGAGTAAAAGTTGTGGAAGCCACCTCAAGCCACAACTTTAAAGATAGAGCGTCGTAATAGTTAAGAAATAATTCAACAGGTACAACAAGGCTAGTAGGCGTAGAACAAGGTTATAAAGAGCTGGACCTCACTTCCCCGTAGTCACTGATAGGTACCTCCAGTACTTATCTTATCTATCTTACCTTACCTAGGTGCTTACCTAGATAAGTACCTTCAGATATTGAAGTAATGTAGTTCCTGCTCTGAAAGCTGTGGAACTGAGGTTGTTTCCACGACCTCTGCTTCAAACTCGTTTCATTTTTTACAATATTTACTGACTTTCTTCCAAACTTCCTTGCTTTAAATTTGTTGAAATTTAAATCTAAAAGCCATTTATCTACCCATACTCGTTTAATTTCGTCCTACTGAAGTACCCGGAATTCTTGTTAATCTCTTACTCTTCTTCTTAGGCCTATAAACTTTGCATTATCTCCAAAAATGTTCAAGTAAGACTTTAACTCATTGGAATAGGAAATGGAGATGTTTATCTCTCAGAATGTTTGGTAATATGTTTATTGTTTGTGATGTGTTTATATGTATGTATTAACACGATGTACTGAACGGGGTGAGAATAGCTTGAGCTACCTCATCCCTTTGTGTGTATTTTACCTCAATAAACTTATTTCAATTTCAATGTACTTTTGCGTTCCAGATAACAATTATTTTCCTCATTAATTTGTTCTAGGGTATGTCTGCTTTACAAATGATCCTCGAACAGTTCATTCAACTTCCATCTTCCACTCAAGTATCAATATACAGTGATAGCTTATTCCCAAGGAGGCTACAAAGATTATTTTTCTTTGTAAAATCAGTGTGAATATCGGGTCTAATCTGGCTGGTTCATCATTCCCTCTGATTCTTCTGGATTCATTCACAAATTGTGCGCGCGGTTTAGTGTGTTCATGTGCACCTGCATGTACTTACCTATCAGTGACTACGGTGAAATGACGTTTAAATAATAAAATAAATGTTTATTTAGGTAAGGTACATACATACAAGAGATTTTACAAAGTTTGTTGGATTAATAGATAGAGCTAGTACATACAATGCCTAAAGCCACTATTACGCAAAGCGTTTCGGGCAGATATTATTATATTGTATTATATTATTATATTATAAACAATATTATAATATTGTTTATCTCTTTATGCTTCACCTGTTAGCCTTGTGTGTGTGGGGAGGGGGGAGACTTTGGGACATAACTTAGACCTGACTGCTATTGTGAAATAACTTGCAAACATTTTTCTTAATTTGCGCAACTAGAAAAAATTCTTCAAACCCACACATCAGTTTTTTTTATTTATGTAGCCTTCAACAGTATTCTTACAGTGATTTCCTTAGGTAAACGCCTATCATAAATGTAGTATAAATCCTTTATCTAGCCAAATAACCGAAACTCATTTATCCTACTTGAGTTTCCTTCATATTAATGGCGTCATTTCTCTTTCACCTGCACCTTAATGGCCCCTCTCATCTAGTTTTTGTTTCGTGGGTTTTTCCCGCTCTGAGGTATGGGCAGGGAGCTCACCAGGGATGTTGCCGGGTAGCTGGGAGAGAGAGAGAGGGACGTTTTTGCTGTGACACCGCCCATTCCAAAATAGTCAAGATCACGGCCGGGGCCACTGGTGTTTGGCTGGCGCCGCACACTACCTGCCCCCTCTACTACACCCCCTTACCCCCTCCCTGCTCACTGCTATACCCCCCTCTCCCCCATCCCTGCTCACTGCTATACACCCCTCACATACCCCAATGCCACACCCAACTTCTGCCCACTGCCACATTCAGTTCTTGCATGCTGTATAATCACTCGTAGTTAACAGCTCTCGTTTGAACATTTCTTAATGTTAAGCTGTTCTAGCAGCCGTCCTCATAAACAATGGTCAAATGCTCATTATCAATTACATCCAGCGGTCGACTCCAAAGACGTTTTCATCAATTTTAAAATGCTATTCATTCAAAATATGAATTTTCTCAAATATGAATTAATATTGTAATATACTAGCATACTGCATATTTAGGTATTGGCTAGGTTAGTTATGACGTCATCAATTGAGTCGTGTGTAAACCGCTTTTCATTCATAAACAGGGGGTTTGGCGGGTGCATGGAATGGACTCTGGCCTTTGTTTATGAGGACGGGCTGGATGACGTCTGAACACTTCCGTAACAAGTGCTTCGCTAACGACTTTTGTTCGAACCACAACGCCGTAAATGCCTCACCCACGTATTGCATATACAAATAATCGGCAACAGAACCTAAACACCTAACCTAACCAGTGCCTGAATATGTACAATATGGTAATATAAAATAATATTAATTTATATTTGTGAAAATTCCTGTTTTGAATGAATAGCATGTTAAAATTTATGAATGCGTCTTTGGGGTCGACCACCGGATGGAATGGACTTGTTCTGAGGACGGGTTGGAGTCGTGTGTAAACATTTTTTCATTCGTAAACAGGGAATATGGCTTCTGGTTAACGAGCATTTGGCCATTGCCGATGAGAACGGGTCAGTTCTAGATTTATCTACACTTTCTAACACTCGCTAAAGAATAGTGAGTCCTATGGAATATTCTTTATTTTTTACACATAATGAAGCGACAATTATTTTTCACCGAATAATAAAACAAAGCTGTATGGCAAATCCAACTTAAAGCAGTAAAGTGACATGCATGAAGGTTGTAACTGTTGGGCAACAAGACTGGCATATATCTAAACATATATAGAGATTTTTGGATTTCAGAAGAGGGAAGAATGTTTCCTAAATATTCCTGATTTTATATATTCCATTTACGTCCGTATCAAGCTACTTAATTGCTATTCGCGCGAGGCAATTCTTATTATATAGTATTTATGCGTTGGCATATTCTTAGCTGAACTTTAGCCTGCCTTAGCATAACCGTTGCCTGTATTAATATATGTGAAAAATGAAAGGGAAAGCGTGACTTACACAGTAAAATAAACATTAACTCGCCGTACCTGTGTTATTGAGGGCGACGACGATCGACAAACACGTGTTATTGATGACTGAGGGCGACGCCAACTGTGTTGATGTCGGCGACCCAAGCGTGTGTAGCACCAGATTACGACCCTAAACTAGGAGCGGTGTTTACCTAACTTGTCTCGCTTTAACAACCATATACAACATGAATTATGGTTAACCAACCAAGAGGAGGTTTAGCAAGGTGCTCTTAAGATCTGCCCGCTTAAGCTCAAGAGTTCTGGTGAAGAATGAGCTTGGGTATTATGAAGTCACAACAGAGCCGCAAGTCACGTCTCGAAACAGTTGAGAGTTTGTACCCCACAAACTAAATTGCTTCGCATTTGGGGAAAATATAAGGAAAATAATATTTTGTATTGGTCCAACCCGATTTTAAGTAATATAATTAATAAATTATCAGTTTATATTATATATATAGGACTAGTTTATATTATATATATAGGACTAGTAAGTCTACTCCTTAGCAGACTGTTAATATTTCGGGGGGGGGGGGAGTAGAAATAATTATAGGCTATAAAAATTTGTATTATTAATAAGCGTTTTTGGCATTCGGAATTAGTAGCCTAATAATGAAATATAACTAAAGATTTGAGGAGTTATGTGTATCTATTTGCAGGTGCATGATTAATTATTTTGCTGTTTTTTATTAGATTAATATTTCCATCGCATTTATTATGTTTTAAGTCCATACAGTTAATTTTTTACATTTTTACCGCACTGAATCCTATTCATACATCTAGTACACAACTCGATTTACACATTTATTTTATGGTAATTTTGTTGTCCTAATTTCAGAGTGCCTTTCTGTGTTGCCTGTCTTATATACTTCCATTTCCGTAATTCCCTATTACATGATTATGTATTTTTCAGTCTATTTGCATTCCTTTTTTATCTATTTGTTGCTGCTGGGTTCATCTATAAAGAAATATACCAGACTACAGGTCGATACAGTGATGTTCATCTGTTAAGAAATATACCAGACAACAGGTCGATACACTGATGTTCATCTGTTAAGACATATACTAGACCACAGGGCGATACACCTCTTGCATACCAAACCACAGGGCGATGCACTGCTTGCATACCAGACCACAGGGCGATGAACTGCTTGCATACCAGACCACAGGGCGATGCACTGCTTGCATACCAGACCACAGGGCGATACACTGCTTGCATACCAGACCACAGGGCGATGCACTGCTTGCATACCAGACCACAGGGCGATGCACTGCTTGCATACCAGACCACAGGGCGATGCACTGCTTGCATACCAGACCACAGGGCGATGCACTGTTTGCATACCAGACCACAGGGCGATGAACTGCTTCTTGCATACCAGACCACAGGGCGATACACTGCTTGCATACCAGACCACAGGGCGATACACTGCTTGCATACCAGACCACAGGGCGATGCACTGCTTGCATACCAGACCTGAGCGAAGCACTATAGTTGCAATTTACCTTACCTACCTCTCACACTCTCTCTCTCTCTCTCTCTCTCTCTCTCTCTCTCTCTCTCTCTCTCTCTCTCTCTCTCTCTCTCTCTCTCTCTCTCTCTCTCTCTCTCTCTCTCTCTCTCTCTCTCTCTCTTACCCTGCTCCCACATGTGCTTAGTCCACCTCGCATCACCGTGTTTGTGTTTTTGTGAAGTAAGTAATTATCAAAGAAGGCACCAAGCCGGGAAGTGTGTGTTTTTGTGAAGGCGCCACCCATTTCCAAAATACCTTCACTTCCGGCCTGGCGAGACAGATGTAATCGAGGCGCCTCTCTTTTGTCTCACCAGCCTCTCGCCCACACTGCAAAAACAACGGCGCACACAAACAAAGACGCAAATATGCGAAGTAAAAAATAGATACGCGAAAATTAAATAAGAATTCGTAGAGAATCGCGAGGAAGCATGTTATTAAACCAGGGACTGTAATTTAATGCAAGGAAAGCTACAAAATACAAAGATTTATTGAAGAAAAAAGTAACGTAAAGTTACTATGAAGAAAAATGGGATGTGAATACTGGATAGGAGAACGTAGAGAAGAAACATGCACCTGCAGCCACTTGGACCACCGGGAATCGAACGTGGACTCTGCAAGAAGCAAGACGACCTCCAGAAAACACAAAGCTCAATGCAAGGTTTCGAACCCAGAACGATGAGAATCAATAACGCAATCTACCGATAACAACATTCTAAATATAAATAGTTTATTTCGACATAATTATAAGGCGTGGACGGACATGCAAAATGTATCTGGTGAGGCTATAGAGACCTAAAGGGTTGATCACATCTGGGAACAGACTTTTATTTTTTTTTATTACACAGGTGGGTACAGGAATAGATGACTTCTGACTCCTGGCAAGCTGAGAGCTTTACTGAGGGGCGTACTGCTTAGTGATGTATGTTGTTACCTTTGCCTGTTCAGGGCGATGTAACAATTACAGAACTTCAGCATCCAGATTCACGTAGCAGTTACGCAAGCACTTACGAACCTGTACATCTTTTCTCAATCTTTGGCGGTTTTGTTTACAATTATTAAACAGTTAATGAGCTCCGAAGCACCAGGAGGCTGTTTATAACAATAACAACAGTTGATTGGCAAGTTTTCATGCTAGTAAACTGTTTAATAAATGTAACCAAAGCCGTCAAAGATTGAGGAAAGATGTACACGTTCGTAAGTACTTGCGTAACTGCTTCGTGAATCTGGCCCCTGGTTTCTTGCTAATATAAAGTTCACCTAGCCGAATTCTTCACAAAAATGACCATTTCCTGTAGCATATTAACATAGAAATTAAAGAGTCATTACAAGTGAAGTTCCATTGAAAACTTCGTTAACAGCCTTTTGAAAAGTAAATAATTATCAGGAGAAAGTGCTAAACCTGAATGCTATATAGCACTTTTGTCTTTTAATAGCTTTGCTATATAGCACTGAAGTACTCTGAAAGCTTGGTTGTATAACACGGATGTATTCTGAAAGTTTGGTTGTATAGCACTGATGTATTCTAAAAACTTGATTGTATAGCACTGATGTTTCTGAAAGTTTGCAATTTCATATATTCTTAGCTGGCTGCTGTAAAGTTCATCAGTGTTTTGGTAGAGAACACAAAATAACGTTTATTATACGGAATGCTTTCCCTCTATGACAGAGAACTGCCAAATCAACTCCGAACAATGAATTTAATAAAATTAATTATTTAATAAATGTCTGAATATCTAAAGGATAACAAATCTAGCATCCTGTTGGATACATATATGAATATATTTATATATGAATAATGAACATCCCCAAAAATACATTAGTACTATTAACATTTCTAATACAATAAGAAAAGAAAATTCATGTGTTATCAGGGTGTTTTAGAGTGAAGTTTATGATTAAATATAAATTGGCTGAAATAATTTAACATGGTTTTCGTAACGTTACTTCTGTAAAGTTTGTTTCCTTACATAGAGAACAAACTGAGAATAATGAATGTAAATAATAATGAATATGTCAGAATTTAGAGGATAAAAACTAAAATAAAGACTCAAGGTCTATCCGTTGAGGAGGTGCATGAAGGAAAGACTATTGAGATGAGAAATAAATATCAAAGAAGAGGATGCTTGAGTGATTGAGGGTAAATGGTTTTTGAAGTGCATATAAAGCACATACTGAAAGCTGAAGTCACTCACTTTAAGGATAACTCATCTTGGCATATTCGGGCACTAGGATGCTGAAGTCACTCACAAGGAAGGATAACACATCTTGGCATATTTGGGCACTAGGATGCTGAAGTCACTCACAAGGAAGGATAACACATCTTGGCATATTCGGGCACTAGGATGCTGAAGTCACTCACAAGGAAGGATAACACATCTTGGCATATTCGGGCACTAGGATGCTGAAGTCACTCACAAGGAAGGATAACACATCTTGGCATATTTGGGCACTAGGATGCTGAAGTCACTCACTGGGAAGGATGGCTCTTCTTGGCATATTCTGGCACTAGGATGCTGAAAACCCTTACTGCTATTATCAGCTCATCTGCATTTAACATGCCATCCTTGTCGATATCACATGTCGCCCAGACTTTATCTAGTACACAGTTGGGCAACTCGGGCTTATGCATCTCGTTCTTAGCCGCTGAAACGCGTAAAATAAATTTAGTGATGTATGTAAAAGGAGCTAGTAATCTACACATAGTTAATCATGAGCATAAATAACTTAAAACCCTTTTTGTATCGTCTACACATCCTTTTGAATAAGAAATTAAGTTAATAAGCATGCCGTAGCACAGTTTCGTTAATATTATATTATGTCTGTAGAATTTGGATTTGATTATTTTTTTCTTAGCGGATTTGGAAATTGTTAGCGTATTTGGATTTTTTTGGTTGGCGGATTTGGGATTTTTTTGTTCGTACCTCCGTACGTGTTACCAAAATACACAATTAATATATACAATAAAAATAACATTTGCTTTCACAGAATCGAAACCATTTTTTTTTAATTCTGAACACCTCTACTTTTTTGTATGGAGGGAAAAGCAATGAAACTAATAAAATGAAAACATTCATTTGCACATCAGGCATTCTTTTTTACATGTACTTTATACAAGAATGTTCGTTAAAGAGTGCATCTGCGTAGAGGAGTATTAAGAAGAACATAAATTGAACTAGTAATGGGGAACAGAGTGGAAGAATATTAGGTAAACAACCTATCTTCTAAACAAAATCCCATCCCAAGTCCTTATCCTGATCCCTTCCAAGTGCTACATAGGTGTAATGGCTTGGCGCTTTTCCCTGATAGTTCCCTTCCCTTCACTCCATCCTCATATCCACAAACTCCTTATCCTCGTATCCACCCCAAGTGCTCTATACGAAAATAAGTATAACATTTAAGGTTTAAAGTTCATGCTCTGTGATAATAAAACATTTGTTTACTGAGAATTATACTACTGTATGCAGGCGATGAGTCACAATAACGTGGCTAAAGTAAGTTGACCAGCCCACACACTAGAAGGTGAAGGGACGACGACGTTTCGGTCCGACCTGGACCATTCTCAAGTCGATCGACTTTAGAATGGTCCAGGACGGACCGAAACGTCGTCGTCCCTTCACCTTCTGGTGTGTGGTCTGGTCAATTATACTACTGTATATGTAATGTAGTATTGCCTTGTAAAATTTATGTATATATGATTTATATTGTATTTTATTAAATAAAGATAAAATAACAAGTGCTCTCTCTCTCTCTCTCTCTCTCTCTCTCTCTATATATATATATATATATATATATATATATATATATATATATATATATATATATATATATATATATATATATATATATATATATATATATATATATATATATATATATAGATATATACTACTAGCTAGGAGCTCTCTCCTCATAATTACCTCATAATACTGAGCAATATATCTTACCTGCAATAGAGATCTTGCCGTTACTGAAGGGTAAGCTGTTTATGAGTTTACTACAATTGTAGTTGTCTTTGTCCCCTGGTTTAACTTTCTTCATCAACGTGATGTTTCTCACACCTCCGTACGCACCGTCTGTCGCACCAAAACCCATAATTAATATATACAAGAAAAATATCATTTGCTTTCACACAATTGACACCAATTTTTTTAAATTCTGAACACCTTTGCTTTTTTATGGAGGAAAAGTAATGAAACTAATAAAATGAAAGCATTTATTTACACATCAGACATTCTTTTATTTATATGTACTTTCTATACACAAGAATGTTCGTTAAAGAGTATATATATCTGCGTAGAGGAGAATTATAAAGAACATACAGTGAACCATTAATGGGGAACAGAGTGCAAGAATAGAAGGTAAACAAGAATACAAGGTTCTTAGATTAAGGACCTGCCCGAAACGCTGTGCGTACTAGTGGCTTTACAAGAATGTAATTACTCTGCAATGTATCCTCACAATCCCAATGTACCTACTTGTATATATATAAATAAATAAATAAATAAATAAATAAATAAAAGTAAACAACCTATCTTCCAAACAATATAGTATCTATAGCTAGAATGGATGAAATGCACAAAATGTAGATTGTTGGATAAAAGTTTATGCTCCGTTCTATTGGAATTCTGAACAAAAAGTTCAACAAAACTGTTACGCGTGTGAGCATGGAGGGAAACACAGGTCTGGACACTTTATCACAACAACAACAACAAACAATAACGTCACGGGTATTGTTGTTGTTTAAGATTCAGCTACTGGGAACAAAAAGTTCCAAGTAGCACGGGCTATAAATTTTTTTAAATTTTGCCCCGAGGGGCGAGTTTATTGGGCAGCGCCACTATGGTGAGCCCGTAACTTACCTGGCACAGGAGCGGGGCAAGTAGCACGGGCTATGGTATGCATGGTAATAAAACATTCTAATAAAGCACTCTCTACACATTCTAATAAAAACTAACCAAAAATCTAACTTGGCATAGGCCTAAATAAAGAATCCTAGGCCTATCATATGAAATTAGGCTTAATTTAGTACAAATATTTAACATACTTGTACGACAGAAAAAAATTTAGTTGTTGCCTTCTTTCTTATGCCGTCTCCAAATTTAATAGTTCAAAACGTGAAGCTTTTTCGGGGACAATAATCCATATTTTGTATCCATAGTAACTACATGTACCTTCATATTTTATGACAGGTCCAGGCCTGTCGTCCAGGCCTATTCTAATAATATTCAGAATACATTATTATTCATATAATGTTCAGAATACATTATTATTCTCATAATATTCAGAATACATTATTATTCTAGTAATATTCAGAATACATTATTATTCTAATAATGTTCAGAATACATTATTATTCTAATATTCAGAATACATTATTATTCTAATAACATTAAGAATACATTATTATTCTAATAATATTCAGAATACATTATTATTCTAATAACATTCAGAATACATTATTATTCTAATAACATTCAGAATACATTATTATTCTAATAACATTCAGAATACATTATTATTCTAATAACATTCAAAATACATTATTATTCTAATAATACATGTGACGAATTAAATGTGTTTCTCACATTGTTTCTCAAACGTGTTTCTGTTTAAATGTGACCAAAAAATATGTTTCTCTGATTTGAAGGAGTTACCTTCCCCTTAGTTCCTGTCTCAGCCTCTGCAGCCCGTCTTCCCTGGCGTTCAACAGTCACTGTATTAAGTGCCTGAACCTAACCTGCCCGAGGACCCACGAAGATAAAACTGGATATCATGGGGGGTAGAAATAGCCTAAGCTACTCTATCCCTTTGAGATGTATTTCTTTCTTGTCTCAATAAACATACTTGAACTTGAACTCTATATCACGTCAATTTCGCCAGCCGCTACCATTCTTAATATAAACCAGTTTTTTGGCCTTAAGTAAATAAAGTTTACCTCAAAATGCGATGTGCTATTAGGAGAATGGATTGACCCCTAATGATCTGCTAAATGTTTTACCAGTTAAGTAAACATTACTTATATTCTGAGTCTGTATGTTTATACAATACGTAATTTTATCCACTAAGTTATACGATACGTAATGCATATTATCAACTGTTAAGATGTAACCATGTTCCGTTCATTAAGTAAAAACATGCATTATTGGAAAAATATGTACAGTATCTATATTTTTTATCCTATTACTGTATTCTGATTTTCCATATAGACGTATAGAAAATATCTATACACAAGATGTATAGAAAATATCTATACGGTAGATGTATAGAAAACATCTATACGGAAGATGTATCGAAAATATCTATACGGTAGATGTATAGAAAACATCTATACGGAAGATGTAACGAAAATATCTATACGGTAGATGTATAGAAAACATCTATACGGAAGATGTATCGAAAATATCTATACGGTAGATGTATAGAAAATATCTATACGAAAGATGTATAGAAAATATCTATATGGAAGATGTATAGAAAATATCTATACGGTAGATGCATAGAAAATATCTATACAGAAAATGTAAAGAAAATATCTATACGTTATTTCTCGGCGTCAAGACAATTGTACATTATCTGTGTATGTGTGTGTGTGTGTGTGTGTGTGTGTGTGTGTGTGTGTGTGTGTGTGTGTGTGTGTGTGTGTGTGTGTGTGTGTGTGTGTGTGTGTGTGTGTGTGTGTGTGTGTGTGTGTGTCAGATTTGCACTTACCATCTGCAAGAATATCTTCCTTGGCCGTGTTCATATCCGCTAAGAACGTCTCGGCTACCAAAACTGGGATGTCTTCAACGATCATCTTATTGACAGCTTCCACGTCTTTGAGATTCAGTTTACTGAATAAGGTAAAGTCATGCTGCTGAAGCTGCTCCTGTAAGATGTTGTTGCCCCAGTGTCACATTAATGGAAACTGACACGAATATCCTAATGCATTATTATTCTAATAATATTCAGAATACATTATTATTCTCATAATATTCAGAATACACTATTATTCTCATAATATTCAGAATACATTATTATTCTAATAGTATTCAGAATACATTATTATTCTCATAATATTCAGAATACATTATTATTCTAATAGTATTCAGAATACATTATTATTCTCATAATATTCAGAATACATTATTATTCTAATAGTATTCAGAATACATTATTATTCTAATAGTATTCAGAATACATTATTATTCTAATAATATTCAGAATACATTATTATTCTAATAGTACTCAGAATACATTATTATTCTAATTACATTCAGAATATATTATTATTGTAATAACATTCAGAATACATTAGTATTGTAATAATGCGGTATTCAGAATACATTATCATTCTAAGAATATTCAGAATACATTATTATCCTAATAATATTCAGAATACATTATTATTCTAATAATATTTAGAATATATTATTATTCTGATAATATTCAGAATACATTATGATTCTGATAATATTCAGAATACATTATGATTCTAATAATGGAATTATTATTCTATTAATGTGATTATAATTCTAATAATAGGATTATTGTTCTAATAATGGGATTATTATTCTAATAATGGGATTATTATTCTATTAATGGGATTATTATTCTATTAATATGATTATTATTCTAATAATGGTATTATTCTAATAATGGGATTATTATTCATAATAATGTATTCTGATAATATAAAATAACAAGCAATTTACTAATTTAATAATTATGCCATTCTACAACATAATAAAAATCAGTTATGTTCATCTTGAGTATACAAGTTAAAATTCGTCATGTTGGAGAATTGGAAATCAAAGTGAGATTACTGACCCCGCCCAGGATGCAACCCCACAACAAACTGACTAACTCCTGAGTACCTACTGACTGCTAGGTGAATATGTGCATTAGGTGATGGGAAATGCACCAACCATTTCTGTCCCACCCGGGATTCGAACCCGAAATTTCCGATTGTAAGTCGAGAACGAAAGCCCACTGTATTTCTGGGACCATTATAATAATAGATATTTCATGATATGTTATTATTTTGACTTTCTCTTATGTAAAACATTTACAGTAAAACTGAGCTAACTAAACTATAAATGTACACAACTAATTTTTATAAATAAAGTATATTTATCAAAAAATAATTGCATTTATGTTCATTCAGTTTTGTTTCTCATACTTAAAAATGTATCCAACTGCTCTAAAATATTTCTATTTCTGGTAGCAAATGGAAATCTAGATAAGCGGGTATTTCCAACATACTTCCACAGACCTGCATTTCCTCCAGGTGTGGGAAGTCATCTGGGGCGAATTTGTGTGTTTTCCTAAGTTTGTCATAAACTTCATTTAACTGCATGATCAGTTTTTTCTTCGCTGTCTCCTTGAAAAGCAAAGAAGGCATCAAGTTCCTCAACTCTGAGACAAGGTATGCATGAACCTAGAAAAGAAAACAATTAAGAATTGTTAGAAAATATCAATTTGTTATAATTTTAATGACTTATATAATTAAAATATTGCAACTGTACTTGAACAAATTATGATAATACAGTTTACACGTAAATTTTTTATAATACAAGTTAAATGTTAATTACAGACATTTAATTTCTAAACTAGCTTGCATATCCTTCACTAACATGATGAGGTTTTGATATTCTATAACTAATTTATAAATACTAGTTTCGAACTGATGTTATTTAGATAACAAATTTTATAAGCATGTGGGACCAGGCCGCCTACACCATCTATAACACCCAGAGGTGTAATTATTACATCCCACTTCCACCCACACGAGCAATACACTAAAAGTTAATTGTGGAGTAAAAAGAGTAGTGAATTTTAACAGTAACATAACAATAAAGGGTATAGCAGCTATATATTATCCTGGTACAAGAGATCAAGATCATAAATGGTGGCTTTCTTATTTTATTACAATGGGGATCTCTCAGATATACATTACGAAATATATTATCCAACAATCTTATGACATTATACTGAGAAGGTGACGTCCTGTGTAACTGCGGTAAGTCTTGAGTGGTATTATAAATACATGTGATAAATATTAACAAAATAATCTACAATACACACATGCATACCCCCACGTGATAATGTACACTGCTATGGGTGACCTCCTGTAGCCCTTCAGAGTTCTCACATTGTTTAGTAAATACCAACTAAGTGGTTATAATTAAGAGATACAGATCTCGCAGGTGGATATATATATAAGTGATGTGGTTTGAAGACAGCCCCGCTCCTGTGCCAGATAAATCCACTACGGACTCACCATAGCCCTGTGCTACTTGCAACTTTTTGTTCTAAGTAGCTGAATCTAAAACAACAACAACTTAGTTTGAATATATGTCAAATTCATGAGATTATGTGTGTATGTGTGACAGCCTCATTCACCTTAGCGAGCCGGGCGCGTCTAATGACTTTCTGGAGCTTCCTTAGAGCAGAATCGCGAGACAGAGATACTAAGTCTGAGAACAAATCTTGCTCCTCGGCTTCAAACAACCTGAAAACAACACAATTAAGTAATGCAAAACTGTATTATATACAAAATTGGTATACAACAAAACTTGCCAGATTTCTTTTGTATGGCTGAAATTACCCTTTGTTACTGAAATCTCAAGATAGAAATGAAATAGAATGTGATATTGATAGACTGTCTTAAATTTTAACATTAACTTTGTCAGCTTTTAATTGTGAGAATATCGTCTATAACTGTTGATTTTTATTTTATTTTATGCTCAAAAGAAAGGCAAAACAGGCCTATTTTTTTCTGGAAGTGTTCTTAGTGAGAATGTGAGAATAAGAAGCGTATTTTTAATTTTACAAGTGAAAGGTCGCGCTGGTGATTCTTCTTCCATTGCATATTTATCGTACTTTCCTTAAGTTTTCATGAAGAGTTAATAATTATATTTGAGAAGACGTGCTGAATGAATGTCAGTAAGATAAACAGAGGCATTACAGCGTTAATGTTGCCTTCCCGATGATTTAAACCTACCACAGCTGCTTATAACAATACATAGAACACAATTATATAAAATAATTGCATTTTACGCTTCTGATCACAAAATAAAACCAATGATGTAGATAACTAATGTTGTTATGTTCTTGTAATGTTCTTGTGTCAAAGTAAATATGCACCTGGGAGTTAGTCAGCTCTCACGGGCTGCTTCCTGGGGGTGGAGGCCTAGTCGAGGACCGGGCCGCGGGGACACTGAGCCCCGAAATCATCTCAAGATAACCTCAAGAAGTAAGTAATTATCAAAACAAGGCACCAAACTCTTGTGTCAAAACTGTGGCCAATATCTTACCTTCGGTTGGCATCGGAATGGAGCGGCTGGTCCCAGTAAGTTCCTATGTACACCCTTGGCACCTGTGATATTGAGAACTCCTGCCCCAAAGACCACATGAGAGAACATAGCACTTTCATCAACTGCTGACGATCGACCAGGTCTGCCTTGTTAAGGATAAGACGAATTTTGTCGTCATAGCCGTGGAGCGATTGAATGAACTCCCTGAACTCATCACTGATATCCAGTTTGTGCGCATCAAAGAGGAGAATAATTCTGTCTACCCGCTCAGCGAACCACTCTAAGACACCTGTAAACTCGTAACCTCGGTCCACCCGTTGCTTCTCCCCAGAGAGGATGCCGGGCGTGTCAATGACAGACAATCCCTTCAGCACCGTAGAGTTCACTTGTGAGCACTGGAACCGGTTGAGGAAAGCATTTCCAAACTTGGAGAGAGGTCTGAAGGGCTTCTTGGGGTCCACCACTAAGGCGTTCCCCGGGATGGTGCCATCTGTGTCTCCGTACATGACAGCAATGAAGCCATCTGTGGTGGGCTCGGGTCCAATCCTGATGCCTGGGAAGTCCCTCTCCAAGAGGTAGCGGATGAAAGTGGTCTTACCGGTCGAGTATTGCCCCACCAGCAGGATCATGGGCTTGGCATCAAAGTCTGGATCATCGAGGGCGGGGGAGTGGAAGTCGTGGAACTGGTAGTTCGACTCCAGCGGGAACACCTTCGTCTTGTACACTTTCTTCAGCCTGCCCATTACAGCCTCGTACATGTCTACCATCTTAATCACCTCGTCCTTGTGTATCCAGGAAAACATGGTGGCAATGAGTCTCGTGTGTGCCAAATATATGATGGTTCTGGACGTCGCCCGCCACCACAGCACCGGTTATGTCTTCCCCTGCCAGACGTATGTGGTGTCGCTAATACAACATACACTATACACAAACCTTTCTACAAAATTCTTACACAGTAAAGCCAGCTTGAAAAAAAAAAACATCTTTAACATTTAATGACGAGGATGACTAAACACACTACACATCTTATACACTGATTTAAACTTCAAATCTATAATGCGCATTGACGTTTCTGCCGAAATAGGCTTCAGGAACAGCGCCATGCTTTCTTTAAACTGAAACTCAAGTCAGCCTCAATATCAATTTTTAGACACAGCAAACTGCAGGTCTAGTTAATTAAATAAAAACAAAAGGACAATGGTTTTATGCAAAGAAAGTCCGTGATGATGACGACCCCAAGGTCATTGGTAACATTTTCCTTTATAAAGGCGTAATTCGCATTTCTTTGTTATTCATTTAATTCTTATTGTCACGTTAAATTTTCAATGCGACTGTGGTGGGTGTCTAAATTATCGAAGAGCCGCGATATCACATACCTTTATTCACCATATTTCCCTTCACTGGTCTCGGCATCTTTCTCTCTGGCATTCTTTCTAAGATCAGATATTATGTATCTCGCCCTGCCCTGGTGACGCTCTATTACACTCTCATTATCTCAATTATGGTATTTGTGCTTGGAGTTTTACTACACAAAATCATTTACGTCCTCCAATACTCAACACAAAGCTGCTATTAGAACAGTATCTAACTCTGGCCCCAGACAGCACTCGGTACCCTTACTCAAATCTTTGAATATGTTAGATATTAAGTCACTGCACATCCTCTCATGTGTACTCAGTATATTTAAAACTCTGAACTGCAATGCCAATCCTGACCTTAAAAGCTTCCTAGAAGGTTGTAATAGAACCCATGGGCATCACATCAGAAACAAATACCTATTTGATATTCCAAAAGTGCGACTTAACCAAACTAGAAATACTCTACAAATCAAGGGACCCAGAATGTGGAATGACCTCCCCAATCATGTCAAAGGCTGTACCTCTCTCAACCAGTTTAAAAGTAAAATTAAGTACTACCTAATTAACTCCGTGTAACCTAACTTACCCCCCCCCCTAAATGTCAACCCATGTCTTCCTATTTAAAACAATGCTGTTTGTTGACCAACTTGTACAATTGCTGATTTCTGTCATGTCCCCCCCCCCATTTTTTTTATTTGTTTTTCAACACAATTTATACTTTAATCCCAGTTACTATTAAGTTTTAGTATAAGTGTTTTTCCCCCACACCTTGCCAAAAACGCTATGTGTATTAGTGGCTTTAGGTTTTGTATGTACTAGCTCTCTATAAAGCCAACATTATGTTTGTAACTCATCCTTTATGTATGTACTTTTCCTGAATAAATAAATAAATTAATTAATTTAATTTAATTTACTGTGTTCAAACCCAAATTAACCTTATAAGTTGTTCCTAACCTAATATAAAGTAAATTAACCTTGCCTTCGAACTGGCTCTTAACCTAATCTAACTTAATCAAAATTAAAATGTATAACCTATTCCTAATCTAGTCTTCAATCTAGCTAACCAAATATATCCTAGCTTTCTAATTTCCTCCTTGCCTGACAATACTCTTCTAGATAATGCCTAACTAAATAGAGTTTGCTATAAACTTAAACCAACCTAAATTAGCCTCATAATTTGTACTTTACTAACCATCTTCTACCCTAACCTTAAAACGTTTCCTAACCTAACTTTTTCCCAATCTAACATAGCCTTATAAATAAAAAAATTGTAACCTTCCGTTCTTTTAATCTAGTTCAACTTTCTAACTTTCTCCAAACCTAACTTAACAGTGACTTGCTCCAAACAGAGCTTATTATCATAACCTTTTAACTTATTCCTAACTCGGGCTTACTAACTCAATTTTCTAAGTTGCTCTTAACCTAAGCTTGCTAACTTAACCGTCTAACTTGCCCATAACATAAGTACAGTATACTAGTTTAACCTTCTTACTTGCTCCTAACCTAACCTTTTAATAACCTGTTCCTAACCCCAAACCATTAATATAACTGCTTTTGAATTAAGTATGCTAACTTAACTTTCTAACTTGTTCTTAGCCTAACATTCTAACTTGCTCCTAACCTATCCCAACTTTATAACGTTTCTAAATCTAGCTCATTAGTATAAACTTCTAATTGCTCTTAACCCAAGTTCGCTAACTCAACCTAACTTGCTCAAATCCTACCCTTCAAACTTGCTCTTAGCCTAACCTTCAAGCTTGTCCCCTAACCTAACTTAACCCTTTTATAGCTTGTTCCTAACAATAGGTCACAAATTTAACATAACTTGCTTTAAATTTGTTTAGTAATTTAACCTAAAGCGTTCTTAACCAAAATTTACTAACTTACCTTATAACTTGCTCCCTAAGTTTACCTGAATTTCCCTAGTAGCCATTAATAGCCTCGGACGAGGACAGAAAGCCGGCGGCTTGTCAAAGGTCCCCCATTAGTCCCGATAATGTTATTTAGCTGGATTTTGGCATTCAGAAGTATTTTGGCATTTACAGCCTTGGCGGGTAGGCGGTTCCAGGGGTTTATAACCTTGTGGGTGAAAAAGAATCTGCTACTTTATGTCCTACATGATTGTGGCGTGTTGAGCTTGAAATCGTTCCTGCTTGTTTGTGTTACAGCTGACCTTTTGAAGAAGTTATCTGGCTTAATATCTTCCAAATTGTTCAGTTTTTTAAAAGTTACGATGAGATCAGCACTGATATGTCTGGTTTGCAGCCCCATGGCCCTCAAGTATTCTGGTATAAGTCAACTTAGCTCTAGAATTATTTTTCTAATTTACTCTTAACCTGACTTTCTAACTTGTACCTAACCTAAACTAACCTTAGCAATATGGATAAAAACGGTCACCGACTTCTTCAAGAGTAATTAATACAAGATGTATATACACCGAGAATTGGTGGGTAGTCTATGCCTCTTGGTGTGTATATATATTCTTTACACACAAACAGAAATTAAGCACGCCCTATATACACATATCCCCTGTTAGGTAGTCTACAGTGTTTACAAAATCTTTCAGTGCTAACCTAATCACTCCTAAACAAGTGTAAGCAAACATACGTTGAGGATTCCTCTTAACCAAAATGCGTGAGAGAGTGAGAGAGATTATTAATATTATACTTTATTATAATATTATATATATATTATACTTTATACTATACTATACTATACTATACTATACTATACTATACTATACTATACTATACTATACTATACTATACTATACTATACTATACTATGTATAATAATATTATACTTTCACTAACAATTTTGTTAAGGATTACACAGTTTGAGACAAGAGCTAGCTAGCTAGCTAATGATATTAGCATATAGAGTACACTTACAAGTCTTGGATGCATTATATGATGATATCCTCAACAAAACAAAAAGGTAACTGCAGAACTTCATAAAACCTTATCATAAGCTTCGGGATTTGTAGATCAGTGTTTAACGGTAATCCGGAAGTAATAATAATAATTCAGCTAATGCCATCTGTCGGCAGAAAAGAACACCATCAATCAATAGTAGCCATAAGATACAGCTTATGCCATCTGTTGACATCAAATTACACTATTAACACGCCACCACACAAAATACAACTAACGCCATCTAGTGCGTCGCCCATGCACTAACAATAGCTGAACAGCAACCCATAAGGCGGCGGGTTGTTGTGCTGAAGCAACAATTCCTGAGCTTGCATATTATTGGTAGATATTCTTTGTTGACATTCACCACAACAGCCAATCACAGGAAGGGATCAGCTAAAGGCTCCAGCCACTTAATAAATCATCTTTATTCAGCCCGCCAGCCCTGCTTATGACATTCTGCTTCAACTTTAATCTACCCAAAAAGTGGTGTTAATTATTTAAAAGTGTAAATAAAGTGATAATTAAATATTGTAAGATATAACAAGTGTTACAGAAAACTGGCCTGGCTACCTAACTTGTGACGTCATCAGTGAGGGTTGCCTCACAGGAATAACAGATGATATGATACTCCGCCCTCTTATTAGACTAAATTGTTCAGTTAGTTGGAGATCTCTGTCAGGTATAGAACAAAGAGGTTGTCGTGCAGAAGGACGTATTTCTTACTTTGCATTTTATTCACATAAAGTGTGTTGACATTCCTTCCAACAGCCAATCACAGGAAAGTATTTGCTAAAGCTCCGCCTCCTTATTACAGGATCGTTCAGTACACAGATCTAGCTTATGACTTTCTGTTTAATCTCTTGATATACAAAATATGAATTTTTCGATTACTATGATAATTAATTTTGTAACTAGCTCATCAAGATTGTAACTTGCTTAGCTAAATGAAATGTGGGGTTCAGTCCCTGAGCCCATTATGTGCCTCTGTAACCCTTTCCACTACCGCCCAGAGGATGGGTATGGGGTGCATAATAAATGAACTAAACTAACTATGATAATTAAAAATATGAGATATAAAAGTTGTTACATAAAATGGGTAAATTATGCCATTAAATTCTCTTATCTGATATAAATAGAAATGTAGATCAATTTATTTCAATTCAGCCAAAATAAATGAACAAAACTAACAAATAAAGTGGTACAAACCATGTGGAATAAATACAAGTCAACCTCCGTTATATAAACACTGATTTTAATGTAGATATTTTGATATGATAACCATAACATAAAGATGTTAAGGGAGGAAAACTTTTTTATTCATTAAATTGAATAAAGACAAATTAAAGAACATAACTTACATATTATTTGAAGACACTCACAAATTATAAGATAATGTGACTATTTTATTCAAATTCTTAACTTATTATCAACGTCTATTGCCTCGCTATTGGTCATTTTTGACTTGGAAGACGAGAACAGCAGCGAACACAAGCCAGCTCATATGTAGATACGAAAGGGTTCGTGTATACAAAATTTTCAGCAAATGAACTGTCCTCCCCCCCTCCCGTCCCATCCCACATCCTTATCCTGATCCCTTCCAAGTGCTATATAGTCGTAATGGCTTGGCGCTTTCCCCCCCTGATAGTTCCCTTCCCTTCCCTTGTGTGTGTGTACCGAACTGACAGTATCCAAAACGTTTATGTACGAATCGAATAGTCCCCGTATGCGATCCGTCTTCTGTAAGTGATTCGTATCCTCGCCACCACCAGTTTTCTCTTTCACAACAGAAAACGGAGATTCTCGTGGGTATACCCCAAGGTGGCGTTCTCGGCCCCACAATATTTAATGTTTTGAGGCATACATTAATAAGCATTCTTATTCAAGCTGAAGCAGCTGTGATATGCTATACAGCCCAGTATTTTTATTATTTGGGTTTCAAACTGTTAGAGAACAACACTGGCGTTTGCAAACTGATCAAATGGCTGTAAAATTAGCAGTCCCCGTGGTATAGTGGTAAGACACACACTTGGCGTTTCGCAAGCGATTTGTCCTGGGTTCGTATCCTGGCAAGGGGAATATTTACTGGGCGTCAGTCCCTAACTGTAGCCTCTGTTTACCCAACAGTAAAATGAGTACCTGGTTGTTACACGATTTGGCGGGTCGTATTCCGGGGAAAATTACGATTAAGGACTTGTTATTTATGGTGATTTATGAGTTTGGTCCAGCAGACTATTGCTTGGAGCGGCCCGTAGACATAAGATAAGAAAACCTAGATGGTAACCTCTATATTTTTCTTAAAGAAGTTCCCTTTCTTACGACAATATTTATTATATTTGCTGGGAGGATATTGATCAGCCGTGGACCTCTAATGTTCATACAGTGTTCACTGATTGTGCGTCTAGCATATCTTCAATCTTCTCAGGAGGCCAAGAATTGTCGTACTAGAAAATGGTAGCGGCTCACGAAATTGACATACTGTTCCGTTTTCTGCTTTGGGTTCTCTGGTAGGTTAGGATAAGGGCACTTTATTACAAGTTTGTTGATAACAGGCTTTCTGGGCCTGTACCCGGGCCCGGGTACAGGCCCAGAAAGGTCCCGGGTACAGGCCCAGAAAGGGCCCGGGTACAGGCCCAGAAAGGGCCCGGGTACAGGCCCAGAAAAGGCCCGGGTACAGGCCCAGAAAGGGCCCGGGTACAGGCCCAGAAACAATTCACTGGGCAAACTCTGCTATGACGGTGGAAACTCTCCACTTGAATGAAGTCAGTAAGGTTAAAGAAACACGCTCTTGTATGAAAAAATAAACTATATTAATAATATAACTAAATGTAAGAGCAAAGAAGTTTAAATCAACCTCACTATAACACTTAACACCCTCCATACAGTCCTCAGCTTCTGATTCCTTTAATGAACACCGCTCATCACATGTATTTATAATCTCTATTTGCTTGGCAGTTTCTTTTGATAATTACTTATTACTTACACATTCAACCGCCCTTCGCAGTTTTAACTGTACTACCACGGGAGACATCTCCTGTCACGCAGGTTGCAGTCGCACCTCCACAGAGCTCCAGTATCAGCTCTTGATACTGGTAATGGCTCAAAAGGGCCACCACTTACGGGCTATTCATGCCCGTGCCACCTTTTGGGTGGCTTAATCTTCATCAATCAATCAACTGTACTACGAATTAAAGTTCCACAACAAAGCTGGTACTACAGTTATACGCTTTCAAACCTTAATTCTGAGAAGGATTGGGCTTCGAATTTCATAACAGCGCTGGTCGCTGGGGCTTGATAACCAACCCTTTCTCCTGAAGTAGAATTTAGAAATGTATTCGCCATGCCAGTATGCCCAAAATTCCTTTACTTTGGCACTAGACTATACAGTATATTGTATTTGATATTTCAAGCACTGAGTCAAAATTTTAAACTCAGCGGTCCAAATATTCGTCAACTGAATACCCAAAGAGATCGAAATCCAATTTGTATCGTTGGTAGAGCAACCAAATTTGTCTCTTGGTTAAGCTTCTGTAGTATTTAGAGCGTGTTGCAGATGATTCGGCTGGTGAATTCCTCAAATTTCTCCACTCGTAAACATTCTGAATCTCCTTCAAGTTGGCAATGTGTGCCAGAAACTGCTCATCGGTAGCCATCGTCTCCAATTTGACAATAACTTGGTAGTCTGAAGCACATACGCCACACTGCACCCAATACGGAGTCCAGCACACTACCTGGGAAAAGACAATTGTTCATATTATATATATATATATATATATATATATATATATATATATATATATATATATATATATATATATATATATATATATATATATATATATATATATATATATATATATATATATATATATATATATATATATATATATATATATATATATATATATATATATATATATATATATATATATATATATATATATATATATATATATATATATATATATATATATATATATATATATATATATATATATATATATATATATATATATATATATATATATATATATATATATATATATATATATATATATATATATATATATATATATATATATCCCTGGAAGATGAGGAATATATATACACACCTGTAATACTACATTTGTTTGTCAAGTGTAGGTAATTCACACACTTTCTGTGTTCACTGTATGGTTGAGTTGGTCAATTTATTTTGTATTTTACTTATATCAATTTCTAAGATATTAAGACATTCAAAAACACGTCTGAATAACTCACATTTGTGTCCCAATCCTTAGCAGTCTTGAAGTTCTTGGTGGTGTCAATAATGTAGTACACAAACTCTGAGAACGTGGGTGTGGCTAAGGTAATGTTGCTGTCTCTTGGACGATACTTGCTTATAATAGCTTGTTGGAGATCCTTGAAGTAGGGTGTGAAGGGACGAGGCTCCTCCCGCTCAATCTTGTCTCTGAATGCAGACAATAACCTATGGCCACAATCTAGTATTAGTACATATTTGAGTTCCTGCGATATAAATATCTATGATAAAATATACACAAGGAAACCTTAAAATAATTATAGGTCGTCGACATTGTTTCTCAGTGACTTAAATTACCATATCTGTCAACATTTTGGAAGGGGGGATGGGAGAATTAGCCTAGCATTCATCGGACTTGATTAAATTTTGACTGTCCTAGGACCGACCCTGGGGGTACCCCAAACGTCCAATCAATCCTCCTGTTTTGGTAGTACTTATATTATAGTAACGATGAGGACCATAGTATATATACCAACGTACAACGAAATTAGAAAGTAGAAATCTGAACTATTGAGTTGGACAAACCAGAAAGCTATTTTTTACTTATGCTTCTTTTACAAACTAAACTAACCTAACCTAACCTCCCTAGGCCGACCTGCATGAAGCGAAACCGTCGCTCTTCCATCCAGCCCAAGTAGGTGGGCTAAGAAGATACGAGTGAATGAGAAATATGGAAGATTAAAAACCATGAAAGGGACGAAAATTAAGAGAATGAAAACAGTGCATTAAGGCCAAAAGGAAAATCAGGAGGAAGGCGAGAAGATATAATAACAAATGAGGAGGGATAAGAATGGTGAACATTTGGAAATAAGATAGAGAACAATGACCATTGACAAATAAGTAAAAAAAAAAATGCCGATAGGAAACAGGAAGAGTGGATAGTGTGAAAAAAAAACAGATAAGGTGAATCATTAACGAATAAGGTTAGAACAATGGATGTGTGAACTATGGGTTCACCATAGCCCGTGCTACTTGGAACTTTTGTTCCCAGTAGCTGAATCTAAAACAACAACAGATATGTGATAAGAGGTGAATTAAAAGAAGCAACATTAAAAAAACACAACATGAAGAACACATTTAGATAACAAAATAACACAAATAATAGTCACACAACAATAACAAACAAGAACGTACCTGGCGAATGGATGGCGGACGACGATGAAGCGTATAGCGTCTTGGAAGACATGTTTTTTCTCTTGACTCTCCTTGGGTTCAATGTACTCCTTAAACACGCGTCGATGACCGCCTCCATAGCGTGGCTGAGAGTGTATATTGTCCTGTTACTTTTAAAAGCACTACGATCACCTTCTGTGGTTGTTCAATAAATCTCTGAACTGTATGTTTGACAAATCTTTCACCCTGTCCATGGAGGACAGAAGAAAATGTATATATGCTGGTTAGCATTGTAAATGTGTGGCCACGTCTGTGGTAGAAAATAATAATAAACAAAAAAACAAACTTTTAGACTACCCCCAGAAGTGACAACTATTAATGAAAACAATCACAAGATACTGCAGTTTTCTGAAGTAAAAAACGAATAATGGACCAATTACAACACTTTAATTTGGAACATTATTTGATCTATGGTAGGAGGTAATGTTGAGTTGTGTAAGGATCAAATATACAGTGATTATAATGCATCTTTCCTCACTGTAAAGTATGCTTAGCAATATAAATTTCATTCCAATATTTAGTGTATTTTGTATAATTACAAGAATTACCTGTACTTTATTATTTGATATACATTAAAGTTATTTACTAGTTTTTAATGTTTTTGCATTGTCGGTACCAGGAAGCCTGATAAGCTTAACAAGGTCCCTTTACCCAACGACTTAGGTTCCCCAGAATGAGAACCCACAATATATATATATATACAGAATATGTGTTTCCTTACCAGATATTTCCGCTGCTCTCTGGTATGTGGGTCATAATGGTCGAGCTCCGGTACGTGGTCATTGATGTGGCGGAGGCGAAGGAAGTACACCATCCATGTAGTTGAGGCTACCTGCACCCGCCCGGGGATGGAAAACATGAAAATAATGTTTGAGGACTTGCAAGTTTTGACGACACAAGCTGTTGTTTTTTTCCCACTAACACTTAATCACACATACACCTACAAATACAACACTGATATTTCTGTTGAGCACACACTAGAAGGTGAAGGGACGACGACGTTTCGGTCCGTCCTGGACCATTCTCAAGCCGATTGTGAATGACAATTTCACAATCGACTTGAGAATGGTCCAGGACGGACCGAAACGTCGTCGTCCCATCAATTTCTAGTGTGTGGTCTGGTCAACATACTTCAGCCACGTTAATGTGACTCCTTGTCTGCACTGATATTTCTGGGTAAACCACTTTTTGTCCTTCCTTCACCTATTATGTACCTGTGTGACCCTCTCCAGGCAATCCGTCCTCCTAATAGAACGTCGCATTTTGACGTATATTCTACCTAAGGCCAAAAATTGTCGTACTAGAAAACGGTAGCAGTTCGCGAAATTGGCATACTGTCCCGTTTTCTGTTTTGGGTCTTCTGGTAGGTTAGGAAAAGGGTACTTTAGTCCGACAGTTTTTTTTTACTTCGTGACCATAGAGGCTACCTACATCTTACAATATTTTCTCATGCCTTCTTTACTTGCCCTTTTTAGAAACTATCTAAACATGAGGGGGGAGGGGAAGGGGGTAAATTGGGGGAGTCTACGACCTATTGCCCAGTTAAGTGGCAAGTCATACAGGTACTGGAACCAGTTATCATTTAGCTTCAAGTGCAACTTTTTTATTTATGTGGGTGTACGTGTTGTGTGTAATTACCTAAGTTTAATTACAGGATGAGAGCTACGCTCGTAGTGTCCCGTCTTCCCAGTACTCTATGTTGTATAACGTTTTGAAACTACTGACGGTTTTGGCCTCCACCACCTTCTCACTTGTGTAATGTTGCCTCTGTTGTTAACGTGACCAAGCGAGCGCAACGAGGAGGTAACGGGAGAATATGAACTCCTTGACTAGCCTGTGAAGCTCTTTCTTAGGCCAAAGGGAGAGAGAAAGACTAAGTATTCCATCCTCTTAGGATAAACAATATGGCCATTGTAGGACATAGTGTTTTTCCCTCAGGTTTGACTCTTCATGTTTAGGAGTCGAACCCATACTGTAAACCTAACCTAATGATTAGATATCTGTGCTTATACGGCAAATACTCTTCAAGATTAACTCAAACTATTGTTCAGTATCGCAACCTCCACACTGCAACTGTAAACACATTAGACAAAAGCCTAATGTCTCCCAGTTATCAAGTACTGTCATTCGCGAGGCTTTTGTTTGGAAAATTTTCCAGTATTTTGACTAATTTTCTACATATTCCTCGTCTCCATTTACAGAGTTCCATATTATCAACAACTTGCCAACCACATCCTGAGCAAATGAGAGATGTTCGTTAATTGCCACATCATTTATAAGAACTATTGTATATACACAAAAGACTGATGATCTTGCCCAAAATGACACTAAATTGTAGTACAGTACCTTCATGTTGGAACACTCCAACAAAAGCATATCAGGTGTCTAGGGCATTAGATGACCAGAGACGTCCAAGTGGAGAGTTACACCCTACCGTACATTATACAAAGGTAATATATAAGAGGAGAGTCTCAGGTATTCTCCAAAATGTTTACAAACAAAAGTAACTAACCTTGTATATTGGGCAGTAAATGACAGGAGGTGTTCGGGATGTGTCCCACACGAAGCGCAGATACTGGCGCACTGATAATTCAGGGTGCTTAGAGCAGGTTTGGGCCAGTAGGTTAACGCGCTTCGTTTGCTCCACTAGTTGCTCATTTATCAACTGCTCAATCTGGTAAGTAGAGGATTTCATTGTTACAGGAACACACTTGTCCGGTACGGTATATGTACAAAAGCTAAATATACTAGAGGTACACGAGCAGAGGTTTTATGGTTATAGGCTAGAAAAGGCTAATTCCCACACAACCATTTGAAGCCTTACCCTACTTGTTTTTTTTCAGAACACAATCCGCTATTTACTTTACAACCAGATCCTCAATTACTGTTGGGTGAACAGTAAAATAACGACTCTCAATATACACAGAAATCCCAATAACGTGATGCATTAATGAACAAATGTGTAAACCCTGGTTTGTCTCTCAGAGAGGCTGCAGGATCCAGTAAGTTCAGTAGAACTTCAGTTTCAACTCATTTTTAACCTTGTCGTAGCTCAGTCGATTAAGGCAGCGTCTGGGATGCTCTCAGACGTAGGTTCAAATCCTCGACACGGCCCTTGTGGATTTGTTCTTTAACGACTCGAAAGTCATTCTATTTGATGGGCCGTTCTCGCAGGCTGAGTCAAGCTGGTGAGACGCTGCCTACCACAATGCGGTGTAGTGATTTCTTCGACTTGCCACGTCGGAGAATATAATATGGTCCTCGTCAATACTATAAATACTACCAAAGCAGGAGGATGGGCTGCAATATATATCCAGGCTGATTATGTTAATGATTGAATCTTAAATGGATTCGAACCGACAGCTAACCTAAAAAAAATATAAAATTTCGGTTTTGAATCAAGGTAATCATTATAATTCCTACTTAGTACAATAGTGAATATACATTGGTCAAAGTTAAATATCACACGTACTAATAAAAAACTGCAGTTTTTACGTAAATCCCAAAAAATTGATTATACTAATTATATACGAAATTCAAAACGATGATTTTGAATAAATTAGATCATGGGAACAAGTCATAATCCAATGAGGAAAACTTTCACAAATGCTTATTTTTTGTCTTTATTAAATTTATATACAATATAAAGATAATTTATGCCGTCTTCCTTACCAATTTAACCTGAATTGACATGTACTGGTAGTGAGCACATTGTACCACTTCACACGCCTACACACTTTTAGCATTAACACACGGACTGCGAGTGGTTGAGATATGTCTCCTGCTTCAGTCAATGGATTCGAACCTACATTTATCCTAATAATAGGATACCTAATCCTATTAATTGATCTTATGGATATGACTCTACAACTATTTACTTTCGGGTCCTCTACTGCTGATGGGTGGACAAGTACGCGCAAAGAACTTCTTTGTGATCTTTATACCGATATTTAGCAGTAAACAGGTACTTGGGATGGGCCCATCGATCCCTCGATCGTCGTCGCCCTCAATCAACAACAACAATAGATACTTGGGAGATGGGTATGCATCCTGCAACGGGAGACATCTCCCGTCACGCAGGGTGCAGTTGCACCTCCATAGATCACCAGTATCAGCTCTTGATACTGGTAATGGCTCAAAAGGGCCACCACTTACGGGCTATTCATGCCCGTGTCACCTTTTGGGTGGCTTAATCTTCTTCAATCAATCAATGCATCCTGGATTGTGGATTCTGTTGTGGATTGCATCCTGGGGAACGTCAGACGGTGCTACAGGGGGCACCTCGATTACCCTATCAGGCTTCCTGACCCCGACAAAAGGCAATAAAATAATGATGTGCATGCCATTTTCCCATACAAAACGCACATAATATATGCTTCCGTAATTATATAAGTTATTATATAGTATTATAATCTTAAACAGCTGACGATATTCATCGATCCGACCCAACACCCACTTTATTAAACATCCAAAATAGGAAACTTTTTATTCGCAAAAGAATGATACGGAATCTTAATGACTTTTTTCATATTCTTTGTTTATCGAAGGGTAAGCGTGAATTCCAACAACATTTATTTTATAGAAATTTGCGAGTTTCTAGCACCTATAATGTGCTGGAATGGACTGAAAAGAATGAGTGTTAATGAAGCTTGGCAACACCAGGGTGCGACCTAACGGGACGCCAGCCATCAACAGGAACCGGTTTACTGGGTACAAAACACAAACACACACACACACACACACACACACACACACACACACGCTGACTGGACAGTACACTGGACACGTCATCCTGTGGGCCCGGGTTCGATTCCCGGCGTCGGCGAGAAACAATGGGCAGAGTTTCTTTCACCTTGATGCTCCTGTTACCTAGCAGTAAATAGGTACCTGGGAGTTAGCCAGCTGTCATGGTAAATAGCAGTAAACCTGGGAGTTAGACAGCTGCTACGGGCTGCTTCCGGTGGATGTGTGTGTGTGTACTCACCTAGCTGTATTCACGTAGTTGTGCTTGCGGGGGTTGAGCTCTAGCTCTTTGGTACCGCCTCTCAACTGTCAATCAAAGGTTACAGAAGCACTAATTGCCTTTGAAACTGAACTTCCAAATGTGACATGTAACTGTTAATCTGCCTCCAGAAAACACTGTGTTGCTCCAGCTGTCTTATATATTACTTATATATAGCTCCTAAATAACTTGTCACGTGTATTTTAAGGATTCTTTCGCAGACAATCCAGACTAATTTTCCAAAATTGAACTATACAAATGTTTAAGCAAATAACTGCTAATATAGCGAATTTATCAATAAATATGAACATAATTAAATGAGTAATAAGCTAAACACAGACCCAATTAGGTTCAAATTTAGGTTTACATTTTAAATTGGTGCTATACACTTTTAGGTGGTGAAAGTAAGGTGACCGTATTGTGATGACGATCACACACAAGGAGAGACCTTGTACAGCATTAATGATGGCCACGCTTCCAAACTGAACGCTCCACCTTATTTTACTCTGAACACTAATACTGCCCTAAGCAGACTCCATTCATACATATTTGTACATTTATAATTACGTCGGGTTACCCAGCTAGTGTAATCGTTCTCAAATAAGGTCTGCAATGTATGAGGAATATCCGGATCAAACTAATAGCTTATTCAAGGCACATACAACAGTGAGTTGACCTACACATGGTAGCTCAGTAACAGGCCATCTCTGCACAATTCAGCTGGTAGCTCAGTAACAGACCATCTCTGCACAATTCAGCTGGTAGCTCAGTAACAGGCCATCTCTGCACAATTCAGCTGGTAGCTCAGTAACAGGCCATCTCTACACAATTCAGCTGGTAGCTCAGCAACAGGCCATCTCTGCACAATTCAGCTGATAGCTTAGTAACAGGCCATCTCTGCACAATTCAGCTGATAGCTTAGTAACAGGCCATCTCTGCACAATGCAGCTAGTGGCTCATTAATTGGCTCTCTATGAAAAATGTCGAATATTTGCGTAGGTTCATTGCTGTCTATCTCAGACTATATTTGTCTTAATATCTGTTTAAGGGGTTTTAACTGAAATCACCTACATACTACCACTAGCCTACTTACATTATTGAAGATTGAGAGGCGACGGTAGCCTATTTATTACTGGCAATAGAACAATAGTTCAATGTTATTAATAAATATAGGCGAAGTTGGGAGAAGAGTAAGGTAAGGAAAGTGATCGGAGTAATGAAAGCGTTGGTTACAAAGAATTCAAGATAGGATGAGATGCAGTAAGATGCAGGCTAACTCCAGGGTTCCTCTTAGATGAACAGAGGCATCAGGTGTATATATATCTGGAACCATTTATTGTTTCTTTCAGGGATCGAACCCGGGATCCCCAATTTTTAGTACTCCTGTACTAAGATCACTGTACTACCAGAAGAGCCATTCAAAATTGACAGGAAAGATTGATTTAGCGCCGAAGGAAGGAACAAGGGAAATGAAATTGAAGGGGATATAATAGAGGTTCACCACACTGATAACTTTTCAAAGTATATATAACAGGAGGCAATTATATAAGATCTGAAGTCATGACATCAAATAAGACAAATAAAAGGCTGGGGGGCCCAAGAGCCGAAGCTCAACACTTTAAAATCCAGTTAAATGCTCTCGACTTTACTTGTCATTACTACTACTAAATTGAACTGAAACCATTACTACACCTGAGGATCCTCTTGGCGGCGCGCTAGGCTTGTGAGACTCCTGCCGTAGGAAGGACTTAGAACCACAGGCCAGAAGGGGTCGTTGGGGTCCGGGGCGAACCACTTCCTACAGGGGTACACATCTTTGGTTGTGTGGGTGTGACCTTTCCGCTTCCTTTTGCTGTAGGTACAGTTACTGATGCTGGGGAAATCCACCTGTCCAGGGCCTCCATGGGTTTCAAAGTTCTCAGCTGTTTCTTGGGTAGCGGGGCTCCAAGACGGGTCTGGATCGGAATTTGCTGCATCACTTAATTGTACCTTTGTGTAGCGGAGCACTGTGGTGTTCGTGGAGTGCTCGGTGGGTCCTATGGTATGTATGGTGGGTTCCTTGGGATGTGTCGGTGGTACTTTGGGTTGGGTTGTGGTTTCCTTGGGATGTGTTGTGGGCTTCTTGGGATGTATTGTGGGCTTCTTGGGATGTATTGTGGTCTCCTTGGGATATGTTGTGGATTTCTTAGGATGTGCTGTTGGTGTTTTGGGATGTGTTGTGGGCTCCTGAGGATGTGTTGTGGGCTCCTGAGGATGTGTTATGGGCTCCTTGGGATGTGTTGTGGACTCCTGAGGATGTGTTGTGGGCTCCTTGGGATATGTGGTGGGCGCTGTGGGAGGTGCTGTCTGCTCCTTTACAATGGGTTCCGTGGGATGTGTCGTGATCTCCAAGGACTTGCCAGAGTCCTCGTCCTCCCAGGTCAAGAAGAGACTTTCAACACTGTTATTTTTATGTGGGGAGTGAGTGCCGTTCAAGAATTGCTGTAATCTGGTTGCAACCGTCATCTTGTAATCAGAAAGAAGTTCATTGGCGTTTAAATGGACATACACTATTGCAGTGAACGTTATAAGTGCCAGTAGAATCTTAAAACGCTTACTTAACATTTTTTATATTAATAAAAAGAGGAAATTATAATTTTTCTTTTCAAATACTACCAGTGGTACAGTATGCTTAAAGTCCGCATTAACATATTATGTTACAATTATATTTCACTTGGTAAATAAAATCATCCCCATCTTAAAAGAGAATCCTAAGATGCACAAACGAGGAATGACACTCTGGATGAGGAATGCACTCAGACGAGGACCGGCACTTGGGCGAGATATGACACCCGGACAAGGAATGCCACTTGGAAGAGGAATGGCACCCCGATATGACACTTGGACGAGGAATGACAATGGAGCGAGGAGCACCAGGGGAGGAAATAACCAACACGGGAGCGTCTGGGTAGAGAGACTGACAAGCCGCAGGTCTTGAAGCTCCTCGATCGCTGCTGCTGGTGTTGCCACTCTCCACATTCTCACACTCACGCGCTAAACCATTATGTAACTTCCTTGTCCAGTCTTCGCGGAGAGCCATAATTCGTCTTCGTAGTGTTCATATAGCAAGTTAATTACTTTTGCTACGATGCAAGGATAATTGTAAAATTAGATGTTAATTATTTTAAAGAGGGTTATTGTTGCAGGAATAAGTACCCGGCCCCCCATTGTTCTTTTTTTCCTGTTTCGTCCCCAAAAGTTGCTTTTAAACGAAACAACTCAGGGTATTTTATCAGTGTTCAGTTAGTCGACCGACTTTAAATCCAATTAAATGTTGTTTCATTTGATAATTTGTTCAGTTATACAGACAATATGATGATGCCCCATAGAGGTGATATGTACTTCAAGTATTATTTGTATTATACTTTACAAGTTGGTATAAGTTGACTCTGATTTTAAAGTCTTAGGAAACAAGTTATCCTAATTCCACATTTTTAACTTGTGGAGGTACTATTGACAAAGGGATGATAACGTCATCAACACAATGATTGCATTTATTAAGCCTTAACAGTAGAAATTACAGATTTGAGCATATTTTAATAAATATAGCGTAATTAAAGACAAATTTATACATACAAATTAATAATTCGCGCTGAAAGTTAGTTACCTCCTCACCCATGCAATTGTAAACTATGAAAAAAAAAGACCTGGGACTCACTCTCGGCACTTTATTAGTGAATGCCAAATTATTAATGACTAGAGTAAATGACTTAATATACCCAGAGATATGGTAACGATTGCATTCACATACGGATATTGCTAATTTAGCAATATTAGGGAAACCTCTTCATCTATGCTCTGTAATCCCTCATGTAGCCTAGGATAGTATTACATTCCTTTGTAACAAAGCTTGAATGACCTATGGATAGTATTAATAATTTATTTACTATTTCCGATAAAATACTGTATTGCTAAGCCTGTGTGACGATATAGCACTTAAAAGATATATGAGGAAAAGATATGAACTTGGAATGGACAGTGAAGGAATGGTTTCCCTATTTTACTGCATGGTACACTTGGAATGAGCTTGGTAAACTTGGTTTTAATTGTTAGATGCTGAGACACTGCTGAGCTCTGCATCCAAGTCCAGACTGTTAGGAACTCTAATGGGGTCGTTTCCATGGTTTTCTTACCTCAAAGACTAAATTGTCGGGCAACCCCCAAGGCTAAGTACCCAGGGTACTATGCCAAGGGGTATCGAGATTAGTAGTGTGCGTTTGTTAGTGTTAAGGATAAATATCTTATACTGTGTATTTCTGTCATCACAGCACCTTCCTCCTTCTAGTATAAATTCCCAGAAATACTTTTAGCAATCTTTTTAGTCAACATTCCATAACCTGGGTCACATACATCACATTCTAGTGCATTGTCCTTTAGCATAGTACCTTAACGCTGTGTAATAAATGTTTATTTCTTGTTGTTCCTGGGTAGTAAGTGTTATTTTCTGATTACAGTACTTGTCTCTAAAATATAGAAAGAGGCTATTATTCCCCTCAGACCTTCCTCTGACCTTTGCCCACGACTGCTTAGAGAAGTGGTTTCCTTACCTTGTGGTTACCTTGTTCAAGGTCACCACGGCCAGGTCCCCGACCAGGCTTCCTGGTTGATGGTCTGGTCAACCAGGTACTTAAGAAATGTGTCACAGCAATAAGTAAGGAATTGGCAGCCTCTAAGTACCTTCAAGATTGCTTCCCTCCTAAGTTATCTTAGGCAAAGGTCAAAGCATAGTTTGAGTGGGGAAATAGCTATTTTTTATACTTTGTTAGCATAAGCAATCAGAAAATAATACCACTACCCAGAACACAAAAATGTATTACATTGTGTAATCAGCCTCTCACTTCATACTATGATCTAAGTATAAAATCCTTCAGTCATGCTGCTCATTACTTGTATCTAAATCAACAAAATCTACAAAAATATTGTATGCTTGAAGATTATCTTCTTTATAATATTTTTCGTTTGTAAAAGCTTAAGCCGAGCTTAAACCAAGTTCAATATTCATTCTTCTTTTGAGTATTTTCTCAAATATTTTCTGGACTGTCATATCATCATATCTGGGATCAATCTCCAAAATCTCCCCCCCTGCATGTTTCTTATACTGTGCAATCTTTTTGTGGCATATGGCACCTGATCTATAGGTTAAATCTGTCCTCTGTTAAGTGCAAAGAAATATAAATTACAATGTCACCATTTAACTTCAAACTGTCAATATCCAGGTGTGTAGGTGCATTATACAAACACAATACTGACTATCATGTGAACTAAGCCCCTATCTTATTTCTTATATGCTTTAGAGTCAATGCCTAGTAAAAGAACAATGGTGAAAAACCGTAAAGACAAATTATCCTAGATGGTGTGTTACCTCAGCTCGCCATGGTAATTGAAAGAAACATTTAAACAATATGCAAAATGTACGTTCAATTTTTAAGTATATCAAGGAATTGTTTTCAATGATTATAAATTTGGGCTGCTAATATTCACAGGTCACAGAGCCACTACTACTAAAAAAGAACTGCTTCCTAGCAAACAATACTATACATCAAATTACTTAGCACAAGGTTGAGCAGTAATGGTTGCTAAACGATTCTTTCTATTGTATATCTCCTCGTAGCAGCAACCACCTGTGCTGCAACAGGAAACACTGCAGTTGTAGGTGAAGGCATGGACCTGTTATTGTTGCTATATTTCTACACCCGCAGTGAAGGCTTAATTTGAAAGTTCAATGTCTGAGGGAAATACCCATACTGTACTTGAAGAAACGTGAATTTGCCTGCCATTTCTACATCTCATTTGTTTTGAATGGAAATCATTCTACCCGTCAAAATAAAATAAAATGCCAAGGTGTTCATTACTCCTGGATCGAGAGATTATGTGATGGTATAAAGGAATAACATTACTTATAAATAAAAATAAACGCAAAACAAACATTCATGCAGATAAAACAAATGGCTTTAAGAAATCATTTTTTCTGGTACATTAATTGTTGCAGCTCTGGTGCCAAGGAAATTATATGCGAGTGTTGAAAACATTACCAAAATTTAACAGTAGAATGTGGATAATGTCATCATGATGTTAGCCGTTTGAATCCCACACCACTATCAGAGTGAGATCTGCAGTGACTGAAATTCACACGAGCACATACAGTACAGTACTAATTTTATTTTACTTTAATTTCAACTTCATTCATGATGTATAATTCTTACTCGGTTCTAAGGCGATTGATATTTGAAGACGTGCTAGTGCTACATAGACTTACCAGCTTGGTGCCCTCTTTTGATAATTGCTTACTTGAGTATGTGAAAGCATGCCGAGATCACTGCATGTTTTGGGGTAGAAGTACCTAAGGGTAGAGAATGGGATCTCTGAGGCAGGCAAGCGATGGATGCAAGTCAAGTCGGTAGCACCCAGTTCGTTGTAATGTGTTGCTATGTACATATATATACTGTATTTACATTTACTGAGACAACTGGGCAACAGTGTGTTCTCTTGTCACTTTTACACTTCTTACCTAATGAGGAAAAGTTTGAAATATATTAGTGCACATTTCTCAATCTGAATCTATGAGAATAAATTTAAAGTTGTGATGAATAGGAAATCTCATCTGCTTCTATTGAATTTACTTTCTATATATAAAGAAGTTATTTATATATATATATATATTCTGTATACAAGAGTTCTTACATTCCTGTAAAGCTACTAGCACGCATAGCATTTTGGGAAAGTCCTTAATCCTAATTTTCCCCAGAATATGACCCGCTACATCGTTTAACCACCAGGTACCCATTCACTGCTGGGTGAATAGAGGCTACAGTCTGGCACCTGGTCAATCCTCCCCGGCCAGGACACGAACCCAGGACAAAGCGCTCATCACGTGCCGAGCAAGTGTTTTACCACTGAGCCACGGGGACTGAACAAAAGGTACAAGACAATTTTTCACTTCATATTCGATGGCAAATTGGATGGCGAGTTGTGATATATAATCTTAGCGTTTCTGTTGGCTAAGATTATACAGTATTGGCATTTACTTTTCTCCAAAGAAAGTGGTGTGCAAAATAAACAGTCTTAATCCCAGCCAACAGAAACATGAAAGACCTTAATTATATGTTCAGTAATTTTGTCGTATGAAAATGTTCATAAAGCAAGAATTTTTCATTGAGTAAACATAAAACTGGAGCCAGCCCACAAGAAAAATAAAGAAAAATTCTGATACAAATTATTGTTGCAAAGTGATATTTAACAGAACAAGCACTTACTTTTCAAAGAGCCAAGTAATTCAGTAAATAAAATTACCAATTACAGTATATCATTAATAAATCAACATCAAAATTATGATTCTCTGTAAGATACCCATTAACGTACATAAACTGCAGTTTGGAGAATTTTTCGAATTGCATAGAACTCCCTCATCGAAACTGCCTTAATGTTATCAACGATTATATAACGAGGTAGACAAGTTCAAGATTTGTTAGCATTATACTTCAGTAAAGTATGGCAGTTAGAACTGTACAGGAAAGATTTTAATTGATGTAGATGAGACTAATGAAAGAAATGTCTCAAGTCTGTTTAGTCGAGTTGTTAAAACAGTTCAAGCACACAGAATTCTAAACAAATTGGTTGGATGACAGTCCTTGATTTGTTATATCAAGTGTTATAAGCAGACATGTAAATGATTTACAGTTAATGCCTGTCCACTGGCCCTATTTACACATTGCTACACTCATGTGTTGAATTTAATCTTATAGTAAGGCGTTTCAATCAGGACAATTATCCATATCTTAAATCTACTGGCATTATAATTGTCTAAATCTACTGAAATTATGATTGCTCAACATGAATGTTTAAAAAAGTTATCAGCTGTAGCACACGAGATGTATTTTGGCTCATCTGGTGGTGGATCCGGTTCTTGTACTATATTTTCCATATAGAAATTAAGGAAATTTAATATCTTTTAATAAAAAATAAAAATTCCTAAAATAAAAAAAAGTGTGTTCCTAAAATAAAATGTTTATAAATCCTAATAATTACAGATTTGAAATTGGTTATTACCTAATAAAATAATAGGCCTAATACATAACAAAAATTAATTAAAACAATTTTATACTATGTATAGACACATTGTTGTAAGAAAATAAGTGATGTTTTACAATACATTAAACACAACAAAACGTGTAATTTTGCAAAATCCGCCCTCCCTCCCCCCCCACAAAAAAAATTATCTTGGTTATCATATGTTAAAAAGCTTGAGTCAATTACATGATGAGGAAAAAACTATTTTCAATTATATTAAAAGATAGTTTATACCACAAGTATACAAAATGAGTAAAGCTGTCGACTTTCTGAACTGTAATTTTGTCATTCTTCAGTACGACAAAATTACCGAAACAGTGTGAATTTTGCAGATAACTAACGAAAAAGTACAAATGACTAAATAAATATTAAAATATTTTTATTTATAACTTTTGTTTCATTTATTTTGCTGCTTTTATGACTTGGCAAATTAACTCATGAGGCAGCCCCTCCTCCCCAACCTTGCAGTACCCAATAGGAAAATTATTTATGAACAGAAAATATAAATGCAATAAAAAAAAAGGATTGGAAATAACATTTTTTATTATATCAAATACATATATTGAAACTGATACAATTTTTTACTCTAATTAAACCACTGGGTATTCAATAGATGTGTATTACTTCTCTGAACCGTGGCAAGCCATCCCTTCCAAGTCAATAGTACAAAACTACCAACCACAGATGGGACAATAGTAATATCTTATTTTCCAATTTAAATCCTTTACAATAAGCATGTTTGTCTAAAAGTTGGCTGTGTTGTTGTATGGCTTCATAAGCCACATGGCATAACACAAGAAAAACAACAAAAAAAGGGGGGATTAAATGACAAATATTGAAGCACGGGCGATAACACTCACATCCTGGTCTCGCAGCAAATGACTGCCGTTAAGGTATGCATCTTCTCGCACAATAAGAAGGACTGATATTTGATGAAACCAGATGCTGCTTCCCATAGCAAATATACATATCATTCAGGAACACAAGAAAAAGGTTAAGCTTATCTTTATAAAGCATAAATGGCTCATCTAAAATACAGATATTTACAGGTTACATAATCGAGGGCAACAAAATTGTACAACCCTGTGTAGTGGGAACACCCCACTGCAAAACCCCGCATATTGGGAACATCCAATTATATGTCACATATCATAACACCTGCCTGCTTTACCTGTGACACTGAGTATTATTGTGTGTGATGACAGCAGCAATTGTTTGCTTTGCATGTAATTTTGATAAGGCACATTTCTTACACAATGCGAGAATACTTGCGAATACAATGCGAGCCTTTGTACAGTACCAATGCAGCCACAACTCTCTGCTCCCATCACAAGCACAAACACCTCTGGATATCAACCAAAATACAATTAACTTTATTTAAAGACTTATGTGAATGAATTAATGGAGTTAAAACTTTCCTTTTGCTGATTGGTCAATAAACAATGAAGCAAGTGGGCCAGTGACTAGGAACCTTGAAGCTTAACACCAAAATAACTAAGTAATATTTGAAACTTTTGGCATGTACACAAGCAAAAACATTATTACATGAAATATACCCTTATGACTATTTCCAAAGATTATGCAGTAATACTGGTCCTTTGCTTATTTCAAAAGACTTTCTTGCATGGTCTCCATACTTACAGTACGAGTACATAACCACATATTGGCTAGAACTTATTCGGAACATAAAATAAGCAGTATTAGTCTCAATATATAATAATCACATGTTATCTGGTTTGAGGACAGGCTTGTGTGTATGAAAGCGCATAAGAATTAACGTTGACAATGTTTTAGTTGTGGTGATCTGACACTGGGAGTAATCACTGGAAGGTAAACAAAACAGCTGGAATCAAGGGTTCACGGAGAGAATAATCTGAAAATAAATTAAAACTCATAAAGATGTTGTACAGTACTTTCATATTTATATATACAGTACAGTACAGTACAGTATAAACATTTATTGAAAAATTAGCGGTCTACATGATAGACTGACAGGAGTAAAATGAAGCCATGTAATACAAGACAAAATTCAAAATTCAGGCTGTTAAAATCTTTAAAAACCTTCAAAATAATAGGCTCAGAATATCTTTTACTGCTCACACACATTTACTCCATGTGAACTACCAGGATTACCCAATAAAACTGATATTTGCAATATTTGTGAAAATGTAAATGTTGTACTGTACTTTATAATTGACAAGTTAATTTTAAAGTACTATACATAATAACAGCAAAAGTGAGACACAGGGTACTGATAAATAAATAAAAATAACACTACACAAAAATCACACCAACATGATATATATCAATGCGAAAATCCACTAGGGCTGTGAGGTGGTTACAAACTTTCGACCAATGCATTGTCAAGCTGCATACTCTACCACTGTACCTCCACTGACTTGTAACTCAAACAACCGCATTCCTACTGAAATCACAGGAAGTCTGCAGGGGCCCCTCCTGAAGCCAGTCCAAGTTTTTACTTATGACCCACAAGAACTTGGGTAGACAATTGTAGAGTAATAATAATACACAATTAGTAGAGTTTGCAACTGGCAATGCCTTGGTTACAGGTTTGCATCACCTCACAGCCCTAGTGGATTTTCTCATTGATGTGCAGGACCACTTTGCTTTTCCACCTGAGTACTTGTGGGTCATACATAAACACTTTGGACTGGCATCAGTAGAAATTACAGGAAGTCTGGAGACTTCCTGTAATTTCAGTAGAAATCCAGTTGTATGACTTTTATTCATTAATTACTTTAATGAGTACCTATGTGGTGTGACAACTAAATAAAATAGACAAAGGAGGAGTCGACAGAGAATATTGAACAAGAGGTATTCCAAGCAAGAAAACACAATTGTGCCCAGCTGGAAGCAAGAAATGCAAGGAAGGAAAAGAAAACGTAGAAGATTAGGGAAGAAGTGGGGAATGAGGTGGGAAAGTTGGAAAATCGAAAATACCCACCAAGTTTAAGATGCCCATGCAGCCAGCTCAGCCATATCGTCTTCATCCTCCTCTTTCTTCCTACGCTCCGGCTTGGCAAGGGCACTGGTTGGAACTTCTGGTAGTTCTGCTACAGGTTCTCCTGTGCTCAATAGCTTCTCGTCTAAGTCTTCTTGCTCCAGCTCCTCTAATTCAGCCAGCAAGTCATCCTACATGGGGTAAAAAAATAATTAGTACCTTGTACCCAATAAATAACAGCCAATCCTCCTGTTTAGATAGTATGTATAGTAATGAGGTATTGTGCATATGACATTGTGCATATATTGATGTAATGGATAATTAGAAAGTAGAATTTGGTGCTGCTGAATTTGGACAAATCGGAAAACATTTTGCACTTATGTTGCTAATAAAATCTAACTTAACCTAACCATCCTAGGCCTAATACAATAAAAGTATGTACTGTACTAGGCCTATGAATATTTAAGTTTGGTTTTTTATTTTTTTTCTGGACTCTATACAGTGAATAGTACTAAATTCTGTTATCTAATTGCCCATTACATCAATACATGTGCAATAGTCTACATAGTCACAAAAAGTACTATCTAAATCGGAGGATGTGTTGTTAAATAATCAGTTATATTCCCTATATACAGTAATATTATATCCTCTATTGCTACTACTTTCTTCTGCTGACAACTTCATCGACTACCACTACTACTATATATCTACTACTGCTTCTACCACTACAACAATTCCAGAACTACTGCTGGTGGTAATGTTATTTATTTATGAATAAGCCTTCAGTATAATGATCAGCCAATATTAGATACTAATTAAATAAATTCTGCTTTTGCTACCAATACTGAATAACCATCATAAATATCTCCTGCATGTTCGTCACCCAACAACTTGGGCTGGACGGTGGAGCGACGGTCTCGCCTCCTGCAGGTCAGGTTCAATTCCCGACCATCCAAGCGGTTGAGCACCATTCCTTCCCAACCATCCCATCCCAAATCCTTATCCTGATCCCTTCCAAGTGCTATATAGCTGTAATGGCTTGGCACTTTACCCCTAATAATTCCCTCTCCTCCCTGCATGTTCGTGACTAGCACGAATACCTCATCGTACCCAAGTTTTGGTTACTTGATGTGCACAGATGAGCACAACAAAATACAGTGATACTGTACAATGTCTATCCAATGTGTGTTTTAATTACTGTATGTAAAGCCTACGTCTCACATCATTCAAAAGTTTAACGCACATGTTTTTCTCTCCTCAAACCCCAAATTAAGATTTTTTTTTTTTAAATACACTTGATTAAAAGTACACACTTCAAATTTTACAAGCTCAACTGTACTAATTACCAGAACTAACATTCTGAAAATTTTGTTTACTTTGTTGAGTATTGTAAAGTCATAGGAGCTTATCTTCCACCATCTCTTATGGTGCCTGATGTTTTATGCTATGCAGTATTAGAAAGAGGCTTTTTAAATCTTTTATACTACATGTAACCAGGTTCCACTCATTACTGAGGTAGCTGCACCATGGTACCATATACTGAGATAGCTGCATGCTCAGTAACATGTACATAGGAAGCTACACCTGCATTGCCCCTCCATCAACATTGCTAAGTCATTAGCATATCACCACCCACTGCAGCTTCTGCCCAACCAGTGCCACCTATTGATAAGATTAATACATCATCTGTGTTACCTATTGCTGATGTCCATACAATCAGTGCCATTTGATTCTACAGTTACTATATCATTTGTTCCACCTCAGTTAAACCTTTCTTGGGAGTATTTTATAGAATATCTAGTGAGAAAACCATGCTAAAATAATGTTATATCACTGTAGGACCCACATTATCAGATTTGTTATACTGTTATATCAAAATCGTGTCCCAAGCTTTGCCTGGGGAGCAATTAGGGAGACTGAGATTAAGAGACTCACTTCGTCAATATCATCTCCAAACGCCACAGGGTTAGAGATGGCCTCTGAAATTTCCCGGGCTACATCCTGCTGCTCTGCTATATCATCCATCATGTCGTGTACTTCATCCACATTCCTGTAAACGAAAATTTATCTCTCAACACACATTTATGCAACCCGAATACCTCGGTCTTTACAGCACTCAAAGTGGCTACACAGACTTTCTATGCAAATATTACATGCATTCATCATCTTCACAACTGTTGTAATTCGTGCAATATTTACTATGATTTTCAGATGATGTGACTGATAAAGTGATATCTGCCAGCTTATTGCAGAAATGTCAGTTTAGGCAGATGCAAACAGTAATGAATGTACGGTGTCAATGAATATGATGGAACACTGAAAAATGTTACAGCAAACATTTCTCCAGGAGATGCATCTCTGAAGGGTTATACTAGCAGCAAATGACAAAGGAAACACTTTGTGACAAATATTAACCAGAAAGAGTTTATTACAAAAGTGGAGAGTGAATTCCCCACAAGACTTGTAAGTGCTGAATACATAGTCAACAAGACAATATTTGTTTCTTTTTAAGCTTACAGCATATCGAAAATCTTTGCCAGTTATGCTAAACGAGAAAATAATAAAGTAATGCAGCAGCAAAAATCTATCAGCTACAGTAAAGAATGCTGACAATGCAGTGTTGAAGCAGTAATGGCAAATGCAAAGTTAAAAAAAAAAAAAATGTAACTAAACAATGGCTGCTCATGGAGAAGACAAAGGACTTCCAATATGAAAATGAACATTACTGAGCAGTGTGTGCATGGTAAGGAAAATTTATAAGAAAAATGTAAAAAATAATTCCTATCTCAATTATCTAATAACAAAAATATGGTCCTCATAATTCAATACCAGGCCTGAGTAATGAAATTGATAGGTTACTGAAACAAGATATAATTGCTTACATGTGTTGATGTGCTGATTTGAGAGCCTTGGCAGCTTCGCTCATAGTTTGTAAAACATTTGTGTTTGTGTTGGCCGACTCGAGGGCTTCTCGCTGCATTTCAATAGTACTGAGCGTTCCATCAATCTGCTGAAGTTGTTTATCATACCTCTTCTTGCGCTTTAGTGCTTGCAGAGCAACTACAAGAAAAAATCAGTTGATGAGAGCCATTACTATAACCCTAGAAAGGTCTTTGGTTAGGTAACAAGGGTTCTTGATAAGCCAAATAGAATTTGTGTCACAGACAATTTATTTGCCTTTACATAGCTACGATCTATATCAATGGCTTCAAGGTAATTACAACATGTGTAACTGGATTACCTATAAGCAGCTTAATAATAATAATAATAAACAAAGAATTCCTACAAAAATTCATAACCTGAAAGAAGGTAAAATCTACACTAGCTCTTCCACATATAATTGTACTACCGTGCAAAACGATCCATAAATCTATGCAAGAAAATCAAAAGACTACCAGATGTTACAACTGCTTGACAAAATGCTGACCTTGGTAAGCTAAGCTGTGCAAGGAAGAAATGCTCTAAGATGTCTATACTTGCACTCAGAGACTTGCTGCCGGGCTTGATGCCCATACCTACACCTGAAGAAATAATTCACAGATGAATGATCATCTTTTTGTTTCAAAGCAATCACCAATCCAAATAATACTAATACAGTAGTTTTTTCTTCAGAGTACTGTACTGTATACTGTGCTGGAAAACTTTGAAATTTCTCTTTCCTGGCAATGAACTTTACAATTTTTGCAGGCAATGAGTCACAATAACGTGGCTGAAGTATGTTGACCAATCCACACACTAGAAAATGAAGGGACGACGACGTTTCGGTCCATCCTGGACCATTCTCAAGTCGATTGTGAAGTCGAAACGTCGTCGTCCCTTCATTTTCTAGTGTGTGGATTGGTCAACTTACAATTTTTGCTTTCTGCTTTTATTTAAGAAAATATGGTAATGCTAACATCTCACTGTTCAGACTGGCTATTCACACCCAACACACAACTTTTCTACTTCACCCATTTTAAGGTACACTGTATACCGCCTGTGTGGTTTAGCTAGACTACTCTTGTTGGCAAACATTTTCCTACTCAGAAATATTTAACAAAGAAAAATGTATAAATAGGCATAAATTAACAATGAGAGATAATACTGCACTAGCAAATAAAAATTAACACAGGACCTAAACATGTCCAGCAGCTGCCCACTAGCAGCACCTCACTCCAAAACTTGATCACTTTTCAACATTAATTTAGTCCTTTTTGTCATGTTACTAATTGCTGACTGATATTTCCCATTAAAAACTGATGCAGTGTACAAATAAAATTTAATGAACATTTACTGGGAGCACCAACAGGTCAACAGCACCAGCACAGAGGGGGCTGGTGGCTGAGTGGACAGCATGCTGGACACGTAATCGGGTTGTCCGGGGTCCAATTCCCGGCGCTGGCGAGAAACAATGGGTAGTTTCTTTCACTCTGATGCCTCTGTTACCTACCAGTAAATAGGTACCTGGGAGTTAGACAGCTGATACTGGCTGCTTTCTGGGCATGTAGGTATGTGAAAAAAAATTAGTTAATAGTTAGTAACAGTTGATTGATTGATTGACAGTTGAGAGGTGGGCTGCAAGAGCAGAGCCCAACCCCCAAAAACAACTAGGTGAATACAGAGCAAAATGCACATTGCTTGGATCAATCCAAACTGTGTGGTATGACTCGGCCAGCTACAGGAAGTCCAATTGCACACTGAATTAATAATTTTAAGAAATTTAAGTACAGTAAATACTTGAAAAATACAGTACAAATTATTTTGTTTATAAATACTTAAGAGAACAGGAAAATTTGCAGAAAAAACTGCCCTTATGTTCGGCTGCATGCCATCAGGAAGTTTACATGTATAATTCACTGTGAGTCAGTTACTTTAGGTACAGAAATTGTTTAAACTTAATATGTGTAATGTAACCAAACTCAGCCCAATCTATCCAACACAACCCTAATCTAACTGAACCAAACTTAACCTAACCACTCCAATATTACTTAGACAAAACTAATCTAACAGGCTGCAATAGTGATAGAAACATAACTGCACACAAATGAAGCCTCTATATATCCCGCCAGTGTTCATGTACACTGTATACTACTTTTTGTCTAGATTTCAGAATAAATTATTACTCAATCTTTATTTGCAAAATTACAAAGTGAATAGTGACATTTAGAGGCCTAATTTCCGGAAGACTGTATAAGAGCCAAGAAAAAGTAACTTGTCCAATACCTGTCACTATCAACGTAACTTGTCTAAAACCTGTCACTAAAAACCTAACTTGTCTAACACCAATGAACTACTTACAAAAGAAGGAACAAAAGTTGTTCTTCCTAGTTAGGCTGTGCTTTACTATCAAGAGAAAGTTCTGTATACCAGAAAAAAAAAACTTTCTAACTGCTGATAATGATTAAATTTAAACCCCCAAGACATCCCCTGAGGGGGGATAATAGTGTTGTTGATGTCTTTATTGACGTCTCTTGTTGCTTATAAGACGCTCACCTCTCTTATTCTTAGTCCCGTGATGCTTAGCCGTGGCGATCTCTTGCTGAATTTTCTTTTCCAGGAAATCCTGCTTCTTGATCAACATTTCCTCGGTGTCTCGGAGCTTCTGGATGGCTTCCCCCGTCGTCGGGGCCTTCTCGTTCTTCCCGCCGCCGAAGATCTTCCCGAAGATGCTCATAGTCTCGAGTGTAGGGCGCGTGAGGGCTCGCAATATTGAAATTTCAGCAGCGGCCTCAGGCTCCTCACCCACCAATGTCGCTATTCCAAACAAACTCCTGCTGGTTACCTTCACCGCTCGCCCTCGCCGTATTCTTCCCTCGCTCACGCCCACCACGGCTAATTTACTCCCTCCGTGGGGCGATAATCAACGTGCTGTAATTTTATTTATTGTCAATTGAGGGTTATATAATTTATTTTACTCGTGGTTTACACGAGGGAGATGTTGGTGGAAATAACAGCGTGTGATGATGTCAGAGTGACGTCATAGTCAGGCCGGGGTGAGTCACTGCTCGGCCGAGTCTTCCCCCTTTCCCTTATTTTCCGGTACTGACATTAATATATAAATATATATATATATAGCTTCATACGCATATACTTGGATAACCGGGAAATCAATATGAAGGGAAAGATATCTTGGTTCGTACAAAGTCAAAGCAAGAAGCCTCCTGTCACTCTCTTATCAGATAACACCAATCCCGGGAGTCGATATATAGTCCATCCAATAACTCGTGGTTGATAACGTCTGTCACGGATGCTAGTTGCTTCTAGTTAGTTACTTACTAGTTACTAGATACATGGATACTAGTTACTTGGTACAGAAGACGGATCCCACACATATATTTTGACTATTTCGGACACGTTTCGTGTGTGTATATAAAATATATACTTGTGTTTTGTGTGTCTTCTCCTTATATATTTTCTATTTTTTTTTTCTATATATATATATATATATATATATATATATATATATATATATATATATATATATATATATATATATATATATATATATATATATATATATATATATATATATATATATATATATATATATATATATATATAGTTTTATATATATATATATATATATATATATATAATATATATATATATATATATATACATATATACTATATACTATATATATATATATATATATATATATATATATATAATATATATATATATATATATATATATATATATATATATATATATATATATATATGATTGGTTAATATTAAAGCCACACTATAATGCTATGAACAGTTAAAAATCTTACATTTAATAGTACAATCCCTTGGGCTGAACGGTAGAACGACGGTTTCGCTTCATGCAGGTCGGCGTTCAATCCCCGACCGTCCACAAGTGGTTGGGCACCATTCCTTTCCACTGTCCCATCCCAAATCCTTATCCTGACCCCCCTTCCAAGTACTATATAGTCCTAATGGGTTGGCGCTTTCCCTTGATAATTCACCTTCCCCTTCTACTTAATTAACATGCATATAGTTATTAAATGAAGTTGAGTGATGTGATGGACATGATCCGGGCGTCATAAGTACAACGCCGTCAGAGTTACAGAGAACACTACACATCTAAAGGCTATAGATAGGGTCACTACACTAATGACTAACCTGAGTTTAACACGGGTGGTACACGCACAAGGGGGACACAGGTGGAAACTGAGTACCCACATGAGCCACAGGGACGTTAGAAAGAACTTTTTCAGTGTCAGAGTAGTTAACAGGTGGAATGCTTTAGGCAGTGATGTGGTGGAGGCTGACTCCATACACAGTTTAAAATTTAGATAGGATAGAGCCCAGTAGGCTCGGGAATCTGTACAGCAATTGATTGACAGTTGAGAGGCGGGACCAAAGAGCAGAAGCTCAACCCTCACAAGCACAACTAGGTGAGTACATCTGAAGGTCCACAAACATGGTTGAACACACAAAACACTACTACACTGTGGCCAGTTTTTTTGGGTAGACTCTTTTTAAATTTACTATGTGATAGTTATATTTTTATATAATAATATACATTTTTGTATTTTGATCCCCTTGATTGTTTCAAGCGTAGTTTAGATATACATATATATATGAACGTCGTCGTCCCATCAGTTTCTAGTGTGTGGTTTGGTCAACAATTGAATGAGATTGGGTGGATATAAATAGGAGCTGCCTCGTATGGGCCAATAGGCCTTCTGCAGTTATATTGATTCTTATGTTCTTATGATCCCTTCTGGTTTAAGCAGGTCCTAGTCAACAACGGCTTCTCCAATGGTTTCGTTGAAGACATCATAAGAAGGAAAGTGAAACGCCATGCAACCTCTGAAGAGACAACTAACACAACACCTGTACCCCCTATTAGACTATTTTACAGGAACTTCTTTTCCACAGCTCATAAAATGGAGGAAAGGGTCCTGAAAGATATTGTTAATAGAAACTTTTTTTTTTTTTGCAGGGATATTCCTGCGCGGGCCCTAAGCCTCTGAAACGTTATCCCTACAGACAAAAATCAGAAGATACAATTGACGATTTACTATAAAACCAAGAAAACGGCCAGCCTACTCATGAGAAACTCTCCAGACACAAATCAGAATGCTTTAAAAGCCCAACGTCGTCTATGCCTTCAAATGCCCACTTGGAGACTGTAAGCCTCAAAGAACTCAATATATAGGCAAGACAACATCTCTTTCCAGGCGATTAACGATGCATAAGCAACAGGGCTCCATTAAGGAACATATAATCTCTTCCCACAACCAGACCATCACCAGAGAAGTCTTAACAAAAAACACGGAAATCATCGATAGATACAGCGATAGCAGGCGGCTTGATATCTGCGAGGCACTACACATTAAGAAGTCAACACCAGCAATCAACAGCCAATTAATGCACAACTATATTCTACCCACTTCAAGACTCCGCAAAAATATAGAAGCATCAAGAAATGGGCCAATAGGCCCTTTGTAGTTACTTCCATTCTTCCCTTTAACTTACCCAATATTATACTTATTGTTTCATGTTCTGTCTTGTGTTGAAAGTTTGTTTTCACCTCATCCAAAACTGTTGTAACATATCACTTCACCCAAATGCAGGTATAAAATGAAAGCCGTTTAAACTCTGTTTAGTGTTTGCAGGTTATAGTTGTGTGTGTGTAAACTAAAGTCTTTGAAAATGTAATAAGTTATTACGAAACGCGTTCAAGTGTCGCGTCAGACTAGAAATAAAAATGAATTTTGGAGAATTGATTTTTCAATTACCATCAACAGTGAAAAGAAACATAAGAAATATTGAGAAAATTCGTGTTAGAATTATTAATCTTACTTTTTCGGTCATATTTAATAATATATATAGACATACACTGCAGTATACATATAGAGATAAATACACTAACAAGATACATTTAACCATAAAATCACTGACAGGATATATACAACGACAAAGATATACTGACAAAATTGAAATAAGACAGCATAAGGCTGTAAGTGACGCAGCAGCCTAACCAACGTGAAGATCAATAACATCTTTTCACACACATCCTACTCCCGGGACACTGCTGGAGACACGATACCTTCGCATCTATCACACACATCCTACTCCCGGGACACTGCTGGAGACACGATACCTTCGCATCTATCACACACAATATTTCAATACTAATGCATAAAGATGAGGACAGGACTCAAAAAGGGATGCTCCAGCAGATTATGTGTATAACTGCGCAGAACAAAACTGCAGCTTATAGCACAATTTCAGTAACGATAATATGAACTGAGAGTACGTCAGTACCACTCTATGATCATTAGGAATCTTTTCAATGAAATATGTTAGTAATAGGAATATCAAGGTTATTGTCACACATACATGATAATGGTCCCAGGATGGATCGACCGTTGTTTCTCCATTTTCTGATGTGTCGTTTGATTATCAGTAATCTGTATTAAAATCTTCCGAGTTTGTTATGTATTTTAAAGGATCTCTATGATATCAGCCCTGTTGTGCCTGGTTTGTGGTGTTGATAGTCCTCCAGCGGCCCTCAACCGTTCCTGGAATGAGAGCTGACATTTCTGGGATGCATTTTTCCTACTGTGCGTTGAACTTTTTCATTAACAGTTATATGTCCTTTAGGTGTTGAGATTCTTTCAAGGTGCACCAAGAGATGTAGTAGAGGGCGATGTACCCCCCGATACATGTAACAAGTTGTCTGTCTGTATAAGGGCGAATAAGAGTTTGGGAATGTGAGACTTAGGGGAGAGGGGGGGGGGTAAATACAACAGGGCTCCATCATACAAGAGTCCTGTTGTATAATGGAGTCGTTGTTTAGTTTAGTTTTTCACCAGCGACGCGACTGGGAACACTCAACACATAGATTCGAACCCTCATCACGGACCTTTTTGGATTTTTTCATTTGATATATCACGTTATTGTGATTTCTGTGAACCATTCACATTGCTAATTAGCATATATATATTTCCGTCTATCCTCCACGAACACAGTGAGAGGTCCGCCACACTACACATAGTGTTATGTGTGTGGGGAGAGTTTGGGAACGGTGGGAGGGTTGTTGTCTTAGATTCAGCTACTGGGAACAAAAAGTTCCAAATAGCACGGGCTATGGTGAGCCCGTAGTGGACTTACCTGGCACAGGAGCGGGGCTGTGTGCTGGGTGGGAGGGTGTACCTGCGGGTATATGAGTTAGCAGCATCAGTGTGAGGTGTGTCCTCCCTCAGGTCAGAACACGTCCCAGCGTCCGCCGGGGTTGACGTCAGCACCTGCCACTCCTCCCCTCCGCCGCGAGGTCTAACCTCACTCTCAACAAACTTATTGTATTCAAGAATGTAATATATACATCACTGGAGAGGTAAATGACTACTTAACTCTCGTCTCAAGGAACGCGAGATGTTGCCTCAAACAGTTGGTTGACGTCATATAGACGTTGCATGGCTGGTGACGTGTTGAAACGAGACTGCGCACAGAAGTGAATTTTTTTCACACTATTCAGAACTAAGAACCTGAGTATGGTAATAGTGACTCGTCTCCATATCAACTATATCAATGATGGTCCTTCGAACGATAATCCGTTTTTTTTTCTGAATAGACTCTCAACCCACAGAACCTATAGACAACCCATCGTGCAGGGGACATCTTTCCCTGGTCTCCTGCCGGAAGCGTAGGACAGATTGTCCTCCACGGGTATCGACGTTGAAGACGAGGACACTGATGGATTGATAAAGATTAAGCCACCCAAGAGGTGGCACGGGCATGAATAGCCCGTAAGTGGTGGCCTTTTTGAGCCAT